GCTGGACGAGGCGGGCAAATTGTTTGAGAGGGTTCTTTCTGCCCGCATCGTCCGGCACCTCCGCGAGGTGGGCCCCGATCTGTCGGACGCCCAATTTGGTTTTCGGGCGGGGCGTTCGACGGTCGACGCCGTGTTACGCCTGAGGGCCGTGACCGAAGAGGCAGTGAGCTGTGGCGGCGTGCTGTTGGCGGTGTCATTAGACATCGCCAACGCATTCAATAGTCTGCCATTCAGCTGCATCAGGGAAGCACTCCACTATCATGGGGTGCCAAAGTACCTGAGGCGGCTAGTGGCAGACTACTTAGAGGAGCGTACCGTCGTGTACGAGGACCGAGAAGGTAATTTGAGGAGTCGGCCCATGTCGTGCGGTGTTCCACAGGGGTCTGTTCTTGGACCCCTCTTGTGGAACATAGGGTACGACTGGGCCCTTCGCGCCGATTTCCCCCCCCGGGCTGGGTGTAATCTGTTACGCAGACGATACCCTGGTGACAGCCCGGGGGGCAAACTTCCAAGAGGCGGCGCGCCTGGCCACAGGGGGAGTCTCCCTGGTGGTCGGGCGCATTGAGGCGCTGGGCTTACGGGTGGCCCTAGATAAGACGGAGGCCCTGTTATTTCATGGGCCCCGTCGTGGTCCACCCCCTGGCGCCTCCATCGTGGTCAACTCGGTCCTCGTACCGGTTCGGGCCCAGATGAAATATCTGGGCCTGATCCTCGACGGGAGGTGGCTCTTCGACGAGCACTTCCGACAGCTTGCTCCAAAGCTGGTCGGCGCTGCGTCTGCCCTAGGGCGACTCTTGCCCAATATGGGTGGACCCAGCGTCGCGACAAGACGGCTGTACACGGGGGTTGTCCGGTCAATGGCACTGTACGGTGCACCGGTGTGGGCGGCGGCTCTGACCGCCCAGAATAGGGTACGCCTCTGGCGCCCTCAGAGGGTAATGGCGGTCAGAGCCATACGCGGTTACCGCACCGTGTCGACGGAGGTGGCATGCGCGTTGGCCGGAACTCCCCCGTGGGATTTGGAGGCGGAAGTGCTCGCCGAAGTTTATCGGCGAGTGGCTGACTTCCGGGCGGAGAGCGGATTTCGCCCTCCGCCCGAGGATGTGCGCGAGTGGCGCGAAGCCGCTCGCCGAGCCACGATGGCTCGTTGGTCGTTCCGGCTGGAGACTCCACGCGCTGGCTTCGCCGCCGTGGAGGCTCTCCAGCCGGTCATCGCCGAGTGGGCAGGGCGGCAGCACGGGACCCTTTCCTTCCGGCTGACGCAGGTGCTTTCCGGGCATGGTTGCTTCGGAAAGTACCTGCACACGGTCGCTAGGAGGGAACTGAGTCCCGCCTGCCACCACTGCGACTGCAGTGAGGACTCGGCCCAGCACACGCTGGCGGTCTGCCCCGCATGGGCGGCGCAGCGCCGGGCCCTCACTGCAGTCATCGGAGTGGATCTCTCGCTACCGGCCGTAGTACGCTCCATGGCCGGTAGCGACAGTTGTTTTACCGCGGTCGCAACCTTCTGCGAGGTAGTAATCTCGCGGAAGGAGGCGGCGGAGAGGGCCCGGGAGGACGACCTCCACTCGGACCCGATCCGCCGCCGGCGAACCGGGCGGCGGAGGCCCGCCTATCACAGCCTCATGCCGCCCTGAGTGTGGCCGCGGGTGGACGGGGTGGGTTTCCCCTCCACCCGCATTAGTTTGGCCAGCCGCGAGGGGGCGGCGTCCGCGTGTGCCGGACGTCGCCTAAAGAGAGGAACAAAAACATAGAGACGGAGCCCGCACCAGGAGCGGGCTGGCGCTAGGAGGGGTCCGGATGTCTTAACAACAGCTGTTCCCGGATCCCTCCTGTTACAGGCGCAGAGTGGCACACCGTGTGGTTTTAGTCGGTCCGAGTCCGACACACCACCCCGCCGCAAACCCCGGAGGGGTGACGGTCCGAGGGGATTTCCACACGTTAAAAAAAAAAAAAAAAAAAAAGGGGTTATGTCAAGTTGCTTACTTACTTGTTACTTATTCCTTGTAAATAAACCTCCTAAATTTTCCCATCTAACTCACTATATAAAATGTGAGCGTTCAATAAGCCTCTGCCCTTCGCGTATATATACCTGATTGCGTGCATGTAGTTCAATAATATTTTTGCTTACGCATCCGCTATAATATTAAAATTAAGAATAATGCCATAACTCCTTCTGCCATACCCAACACTGGTGCATGGTAGCAAGGTTGGCAATGACAGAAGAACGATAAGGAAAAATCTCAAAAAATAATCATAAGCCGGTGACGCGGTAATGTTGAAGTAGGAAAGACTTATAGTGACCAGGTCAGCAATATATTGAAGACGGGTCTACTTATGAACAGAACAACTAATGAGAGCGTGCGATAGGTCCATGGAATACAAAAAAGACGCAAAGTGTATGTTAGAATCGTGGCAAATGGTGCCTCTGCCTATCCTGGGTCCTATGTATATGTGTGGCGTAGTAAATTTTGGGTTTTAATAAAACAGCAAATTAACGATGACCAGAGATTGCCTGTTTGATAGATACTACTAAAAATTTCAAGGGGTTATGCTTGAAATTAAATCAGAGCTTGCAACTTAATGGTAATCCTGCACTTGCTATGATTAACCTAATAGGCGTTGCACGAACATGCCTCGGGCCAATAGCTCTCGATATCACTGCTAAGTCTTACTAACAACAACTCGGCCTATCCCACAAAACCAGGAAAAAGGCCTAGATGCTATTTGAAAAGTAGTTGGTTATGTGTCTGAGTGATCGATAATTCTAAATCGTCTCTATCTCTACTAGTTCCTCTAGAGTTCCTCTATGGAGAGACTGTAAAATATTGTTTTTTTTTTACGAAAGAATTGTCTGCGACTCAGGAGTCACAAACGCGTTGCCGGCCTTTTAGGAAGGAGTACGCTCTTTTCTTGAAGATTTAAAGGTCGTATCGGTCCGGAAACACCGCATACGATAACCCGTTCCACAGATTGGTTGTGCGGGGCCAAAAGTGTCTCGAAAAGCGCACAGTAGTGGAGCGCCAACAATCCAGGTAATGAGGATGAAAATTTTGCCGTGTGGAACGATGGCGGAAATTTTACGATGGCTGGTATTAGTCTGAACAATTCCTCGAAGCACTCTCCATGATATAAGCGATAGAGAATGCAGAGTGAAGCCACATCTCTACGTAACGGCAAGGGGTCGAGCCGATCAATCAATTTTGTGTTTTTTTTAATATACGTAAATTGCGAATTATTTAACTGACTTCCAAACCGTAAAAGAAAGACTTATAGTGACCAGGTCAGCAATATATTGAAGACGGGTCAAACAATAGTTTGTAAATTATATATTTGGTATAACCGAGTTTTGAAATACACAGTTCAACAAAGTTAGTAGCTTGTTGTTGTGTACAGATAAAAGTCAACGAACTCAAACTTATCGCACTAGGCACAGTATTTACTTTGGAGTAGTATTTATACAAAGTGAATTGAACAGATATTACTTCGCCAGTGAACTGCCAAGAGCCGAGTACCTACATCGCACGCAAAGATAAAAACAAATAGCTTTTCGAATATGGACGTAAATTTTACAAACAAAGTGGTGTTGATTACTGGAGCTGGTGGGGGCATTGGAGAAGCTACTGCTCTGCTATTTGCGAAACTTGGAGCTACCTTATCGCTGGTAGACAGGAATGTAGTCAACTTGCGAAATGTCACGCTCAAATGCGAAAGAGAGAAAGGTCTGGAACCACTGGCTATTTTTGCTGATCTAGGAACCGACGCAGGTGTGGAGAAGACTGCTAACGAAACAATAGAATGTTTTGGCAGGTATGAATTATGTACTTCTTTAACAATATATTTTATGGCATGAAAAATATTACCGTAGAGTAGCCTGATCAATGGTATGTTTTTAACACCTATCAGCTTGACCTGGCTAGGATTCCTTAACCTCGCAATATATAAATAAATATCTTAATCAAAATAATAACCAATGCAATCGCCCTAGAGTTCGATGTAGATATAGACCTTAATGCAGTAAACTTTAAAGATTATGTAGTAATAGGCATTTGCGCTTAAAAATGTTCAATAAACATACTTTATCGCTAACTACACACCTTGCGTGTTACCGCTCACGTCTTACTTGTTTGCCACCAACGTGGTATAACTACACAAATATTAATGTTCGTCAACTGTCCATCATTGGCTACATTGGTAAAGGACAATGGACGCGGCTAATTTATAATTCTAGACATGAGAAGAATTCAGTGTGAATTAAAACTCGACCAACCAATTGACTGTTAGTATAACTGGGTTCACATTCATGAATTAATTTAATTCGTGTAAAACAACTCTTTCATGTTTTTCGTCGAGTGAGTGACGTTAGCTGAGCCCAAATCCAGGAAGATTTGGGCTCAATTAATTGGAATCATGGAGAGGATCCTCCTCATTCTAAGTCACTTACGTTACGGACATTTTTTATTTTATTTAGAGGAGGCAGACGAGCAGACGGGTCACCTGATGGAAAGTGACCATCGCCGCTTATGAACGTCTGCAACTCAGGAGTCACAATAGCGTTGCCGGCCTTTTAGGAAGAAGTACGCTCTTTTCTTGAAGGTTTGAAGCCGCAGGAAGTGGCCGGTATTAGTCCAAACAATTCCTCGGAGCACTCTCCATGATCTATGCGATAGAGAATGCAGAGTAAAGCCACATCTCTACGTAAAGCCTAGGGATCGAGCCGATCGGAGATGTTTGGACTTCAAACGCACCATGCCCTATCTCTATGAAAATATACATAAAATGCTATACTCGTACATACAGACAAAATATGTTTTACTTTCAGATTAGACGTTTTGGTGAACAATGTCGGCATCGGCGCCCGCGCATGCATCCAGCAAACTGATATGGCCACCTTTGACGACATCTTCAACATCAACGTCCGTGGTGTCTACAACCTGACGAGGCTCCTCGTTCCACACCTCTTAAAGACTAAGGGAAATATCGTCAACGTGTCCAGCATTATGGTGTCAAATATTGCTGTAGGCAGCTTGCCTTACGACATGGGCAAAGTAAGCAACTGTTGATTTCTTTGCCATGGTTGATCATAAATTATAGCTACACTTTTTCCCGCATGTGCAATGAATCTCCAAAAATGGAGGCTGATAAATAAACAATTAAGTGGAAGTTTATTCAGTCGTTCAGGACATGCTCAAAACTTTTGATCAAAATAACAGTCACAGTTGGACGTTTAGGCATTACATAGATTATTTTAAATAATTTAAGTAATACTGTAGCCATTTTAGACAGCTTACTAGCTTTTAACGAATTCCTAGATGACAAGGCTTCCTGGGATGTGACATGAATTGCTCTTTCTTTCTTTGCTTATTTTCTTCATCTTTTCTTAAGTTTGTTGCGGCTTCTTGTCAGTCTGTTGCCACTTCGAAGCTTCAATGGAAGCACAACAAATGACGAACAAAAACTACAAATTTTTGACACAAACTTATAGCCTGGTATTTTACTCATTGTGTTAGAATCACTTGATCGAATTAGGTACGTCTGCTCATTTTTTATAATATAAACATTAAGAGAAAGTAGAAACATTAACACGTTGTCAGTATATTACCCCTTGGTATCACTTTACACGGAAAACAACAATGTTTAGATTTCTTATCTGACAATTTTTGCACAACGGGTCTATAACCGTTGAGCTGTGTTGAGATCACGTAAAAGGTTCAACTTGGTCGAAACACGTGACGTTTCGACCAAATTACACTACCCGTGGCAAGCCTGGTAGTCGTAAAACGTCAGACAATTCAAGGATATATTGATACCTGTTACGTGATAGCGTTAATTCTCTTGTATGAAGTATGTAATTATAATATAATAATAATAATAATAATATTGTATCACATTCACACAACGCCATCTAGTCCCAAACTAAGCAGAGCTTGTACTATGGGTACTAGACAACTGATATAAATACATATATACTTTTTTTTTTGTAAATACATACTTATTATACATAGAAACACCCAGACCAAATCAAACATTAAATGTTCACGCACACAAATGTTTGACTTGAGCGGGAATCGAACCCGCGACCTTTCGAATAGCAGCCCGTTACACAAACCACTACGCCATTCGGTCGTTATAAATCATGGAAAGTCAAGTTTAACAATCAGAATAAAATGGACAGCTTAGTTCCGTTTTACAATAAAATAGTTAACCTAGCATAGATTAAAGATATTTATACAAACAAACGCAAGAAGTTCATAGATAAGAAAAGTGTAATTTATATTTCTGGAGTTTTAATGTTAAATATTAAAGGGTTTTGTGTACTTGTTGATAAAACTATTAATTGATTACATTTCCAGGCAGCGCTGGATCAATTCACCAAGGTGGTCGCTCTAGAATTGGCACCTCACGGAGTAAGGGTTAACACTGTCAGTCCGGGACTAACAGTAAGTACTTTCGTCTCTCGCTTTAATGGTTGAAGCTATCACCTCGCCGCTTCCTACTGCACTGAGTGTTGTGTGTTCGATCACCACATGGGACAACACACAAATTGTTGTTCTGAGTCTTTTTTGTATCAGTTTCATGTATGTTCGTAAAGCCCCCCGCGACAGAGGATATATTCTTAGAGTGGGAGTTGTCTTTTTATAAAAAAAAACTGTTGGCATGAATTCCTGAAAAAGGACGGCAGTGTGTGTAGTGTGTAAACTAAGCAGGATAGCACTGCAAAGAGAAGGAAAACTTGACACAAACCCTTTTACGTGTGGAAGCCCCCCCGGCCCACACCCCAACCCGGGTTTTGCGGCGGAGTGGTGTCGGAATCGGACCGACTAAAATCACACGATGTGCCACTCTGCCCCTAAAATAGGAGAGATCTCGGAACTGCTGTTATTAAGAGATCCGGTTGACTCAAACCTTATACCAACTCGTCTGGCCAGCGTGGTATAGTAGGCTAAAACTTGCTTTCTAAGGAAATAACTATTTCCAGCAGTGAACTATTAAATGTTGATGAGAGTTTTTTTTTTTGTTTTTAAGGCGTATAGGGGCAGCGAGCACTCATTGGTCAAATCATTTGACCAATGAGTGCTCGCGGTAGTAGTGCTAGTTGCCCGGCAGATGGTAGGTGAAATGTCAGATATTACACATCACAGCCTACATTACAATAATGCCATCCTTTTACCTTTCAGGTATCGAATGCCACGAAAACATTGATGAAAATTAGCGAAGAAGAATATCAGACTTGGCTAAATGATACTGTTACAGTAGTACCAATGGGAGAGGCGTGTTTAGGCCTGGACATAGCGAGGATGATCGTGCACCTGGCCAGCGATAACAGCAGACTAGTCACGGGGGCCATTGTGCAAGTGGATGGGGGGTTACAGTTTGGGAGTATAGGAAATCTCATGATTGAGCAGATGAAAGCTCTTTCAATGACCAAATGAAAAATAAACATTTGTAAAGAATTCTTGATATTGTTATTTTTCGAGTCTATGGTAGACTAGAGCTATTATAGAATAGGTAGAATAGAGCCCTTCGGCACTGTTTTCGATATAAGAATCGAGATTTAGAAAGAAGATATTGTATTTAAGTTTCGAAAGAAGAAACATTATTCTTTTAACGAAACGAGTTTCGAAAGAAGAAATATTATGTATTCTTATTTCGACTGGTTTCGTAACATGGTTTCGCACGCGGCCGAAAGGGAGCTATTAGCACCTCATCATCATCATCATCAACAGCCTTTAATAGTCCACTGTTGGACATAGGCCTTTCCTTGGAAAGGAGGTTTTGGCCTACGTATATTATATACATAGCCTAAAGCTAGTGGATCCTGTAGGGACAAATCCATTGAAATTTCAACAAGACTGAAAAGGAACTTGTGATGCTGTTGGCAAGAAGCGTCGGATCTTCATGAATGATTACAGGATTTGTGAAGTGGGTTGGACAGGTTGGAATTGAGAACATTGCTTTAAATAAAACACTTAGGTTCTTAACGTACATAAATAAATAGGGTTTAGTGTTGTCACATATGTGGAGTGGGTTTCTACTGAAGCTTTCATTCGATTTCTCCAAATGTTTCTTGAATCAATTTAATTTTTAAAGTGGGCGTCTACCTTTTGGGGATAAAAACGCGTTTATTTGCACGTATCTATGATGTAACTTGAAAGGCCCACTGCCTCCAACTCTAAGGCCAAAGTTGTGACATGTTTCGGCCCTTGATGTTAAGAAAATTAACATCAAGGGCCGAAACATCACACCTCATTCTCGTTACCGTGTCCGCGGCAGAACTCCAGATCATGTTCGCCCAATGGCATGAGGCTTCATTGATCGTCGTCCTAAGGATGATACGAAGACCAAGGTAATGACACAATCACCCATCCCACATACCTAACATCGATGTCGAGAACCACCGAATAGAGACAGTAGATGAGTATGTTTACCTTGGTCATCGTCTATCCTTTGGCCGAGGCTCCCAGTTGCGGAAAACTACTAGGCGTATTCAACTGAGGTGGGCTGCTTTTGGAAAATTTGAAGACGTCTTGAAGTAAAAAATTCCGCAATGTCTAAAAACCAAGACATTCAACCAATGTGTTCTGCCTATTACCACTTGTGAATCCGAAACATGCCCCTCTCACAAACAAGCCCATGTATGACATAAGACTTGCTCAAAGAGCCCTGGAGCGGGCCATGCTAGGTATCCACCTCGTGGACCGTATACCAAACGTCGAAATTTGACGCCGCACCAAAGTTGAGGATGTGGGTATACGGATTGCGAGGCTTAATTGTAGATGGGCAGGGCAATTGGCCAGACGGGACGACGACCGATGGATTAAGGCTGTTACCGAATGGTGGCCAAGAGATATGCGGCGGCCTCGAGGCAGACCACCTGCCCGAAGGTTGGTCGACATTGTGAAGGCGGTAGGAGAGCAATGGATCCGGTTGGCACAAAACCGCCAGGAGTGGCGTGATAGAGAAGAGGCCTATACCCAGCAGTGGGTGCAACAGGCTGCTTAGATAGAGATAAATAGAATCTATTCCTAACAGAAGCATTTCAGCTTAGTTAGAGAGAGCTTTAAGAAAACAAAAAATTAAAGTCAAGATAACTTTACAATGTAATTTTAAATACATAAAAGCTACAAAATATAATACTTACACAAAAATTTGATAAAACTAAATAAAAATTATTAGCCTAAAGTCAAAAATTCGATACATACATTACAATAATCATGCCAGAGAGATAGTTCAATCCTTTTTCAAGGCAATACTAAGTTTATACAACTTGTTATAAAAATTGGAGTCATATACTTTAGAGAGACTATATTTTCCTATGACAACAATATTGTTGAATTGTTCTATTATTATTATTAAATACACATTATTTTAAGAATTCAATTCGAACCAAATACCTAAATAATAATAAACCTTCGTAAAATGGCCGCAGCGAATCAATAATTGCCAATAAAACAGCAGGACAGAAAGTGCATGTAATAGGGTAGATTCCTGCATTAAAAATTAATTATTTCATCTCCAATCTTAAATATCTTGTCTTCCATTATCAATTTAATGTTATTTTTGTAACATCTACAAATTAACAGTTTGACATTATCTAGGTGTGACGTCACGCCTTAGTATTTCATCCAAAAATGTATCTAGTCAATCCTTTTGACGTTTAATAAAAAGATGCTGATTTAATTTGACAATCATCTATCCCATTACTGACATTTAGAGTAATAAACTATCTCCATTGCCTGCCTGCCTGCACTCATGGATAAAATACGAAATTTAATATAAATCACAATATTTAATGGCACTTTAAAACAGACACATCATTTTCAAGAGGGGCATCCATGGAAAGCAACCGGGAATGCCTCTCACAGCATCTGATCATAAAACCGAAGTCAGGACATTTATAAAACATAGGTATAAGGGCGCATTTACATACTGCGGGGTTTGTTAAATATAATAATATAATAAAAATAACTCAAATATATTTTCAAGTAAATCTGTTAAATTATATGAAGGTTATTGTTGTACGATTTTTTTTTTAATATTAATAAAATTAGGTTCAAAACAGATAATTTTATCTTGTGTACACAAAGAAATATTATAACAGACAGACTGTTAGAGCGTCAGACTTCCAGCAATTTCGATGACCTGGACCACCTTTTTTCCGTATAAGAGCAATATCCGTTTATTTATCTACCTTTCCTTTATTATACTCCTAAAATTCTAATACAATTCCTATAAGACCCAGACCCAGCATAGGCATCATGAAGTGGGACTAAAGTGGTAGTCGGCAAAATGCGTCTAATATGCCTCTGTCCATCCCTGCGGTGATGTAGCGTGTATCTGACGTGCGATATTACTTCAAATCTACGTAATATATGAATGCACCCTTAACCTCCACACAGCAGACGACATATCAGGCGTCCTATACTAACAGTGTTCAATAATAAATTAATATTTAAAAGGCAAACCAACTAAAGTCAATCTTTACAAGTCTTATTCATAAACCAGGACGAGTATATAATTCATTGTCTTATATTTTATTAATTGCGTTCTCCAGCACTGCTTCTAATATCAACCCTCACAATTATTAAATATTATACAAATCGAACATCAGGAGTAGAGATTATTGCAAAAATGATGTAAGTGCACATGTGCGACTACACAGCAGTCGGCCGGTCGGTGCGACCAGTCGCAGCCGTGGACGAGCCCTTACATGTAACAACATAATATACAATATAACAAATATATCATAAACAACTGCTTCAAAAGTTAAATACAGTTTTCTAAGAGCTAATGTGGACATATCTGATATCTTACAATGTGCTATAAATTGATACAGGCACTGAGCTAAATTTATATGAATCTAGTTAGTTGACGCAATGGAAAGGTTTAGCAGTACAGTATATTATAAATGGACCTAGTGATTAAATTAGATGTCTATAATGGACTAGGGCCAATCTGTAAATGTTTAAATGTTTTTTTTCATAACCCTAATAAAAATAAAACATATTACAACAGAAGATTTTTGTGAATTTTTCTGACAAATTTGTTAAGGTTTCAGTCCAACCTTTACTTGGTAGTCAGTGCAATATTTACACAACTAAAATTAATTAATGCACATTAATGCAAATGCAAATAATACATTTCTGCATTATATATATCATTAAATTAAATAATAATGTTGACCACAAATTTATGATAGTCCCGATTCTGATTTAATCAGTAAGTTTTAGTACATGACGTCTGCACAAATTTATATAAATTTGATATATATGACAAGAGGCTAATGTCTTACTAAAGCTGAATTATATGTTTAACATCCCCGAATTAACATTTACAAAATATTGCAAAACCAGTTGTTTTTATATCAGTTACACATTAAAATGGGGTAAAATTCCATTTCTCGATGTCAACTGATACAAGTCCGTTCTCACCAATTGTTCTCGTAATAAATCACAATGAACGTTCAGCTTATTTATGTCACTATTGGAATAGAAGTCTCACTCATACCACAGTCATATAATCGGAATTGAGCATCTAAACATACTCACAGCAATCTAATATTCAAATAAACCTGATTCTTTAAGAACAAAAGAATTTCCGCTGCTTTAACGGTTCACTGTCATCATCACTATCAGAAAAACAAGCAGTAAAACCACTCTTGTCTCTAAGTGAGTCTTTCTGTAAGCTTTCACGCTTATCATTCATCTTCTTTGAACGTAAATGTCTTGATGTACGTTTTTTCTTCCGCTCTTTAGTTTCTGCTTTTGGATTAGCCACATTCAGGCTTACCATAGAGCTCCCCACGTTCATACTAACCATAGAGCTGACCTGCTCAGTTGAGTTACTCAGTACAAGCACTAAGTTTTCTGGTTGCCGCAGGGAAAGCCCTAAGCTACGGCCACTTCTAGTTTTAGATACTGTTGTAGCATCAGGATTCTCTTTCTTGTCAGAATTATTGAAGTCTGTCGAATTTCGGCTGGTACTTTCCTTTTTATCTCCCAGATTTACCTCCTCAGAGATTTCTTCATCCTGGGTAGCTGAGTTATTTCTGTGTCTCTTTGGATACCGTGGTGCACTAGTCTGTGACTCAAATGAAACATTGAGGTTTGTTCTAGGCCTTGTTCGGGTGCCACAAACTTTCTTTTTACTCATACTCTCTTTACCAGTTCTTGAGTCCAAAAACTTCAGTAATGAGGTACTCTTGCTGACTTTAGTCCTCTCCTCTCCTCTCGGAGTCCTCTCGGTACTTTTGGCAGTTACTAAGTTGATTACATTTTCTGATTCGGTGCTACAATCGTGAACAATATTTTGGGCCACCGTGTTAACCGATTTGTCAGCACAAACCAACATAGTGCAGTCTTTTTGTCCACTCTGCTTTGATTCCTTTACTAAGCTTCGGTTGTTCTTACATCTTAATTTCCTTGGAGTTTTTGTTGACTGCAATTTAGTAGACCTTATGTAGTTAGCTGTAAAACCAGACACATCACTTAAGTCTTCAAATTGACCATTTAGTGCTTCATTTTTGGATTCATTCAACTTATTAATGGCATTGTTCTTCTTATTGTCAATGCTCTGGTCCCCGCCTGCGAGTAACTCTGTTGAATTTTTTGTTTTTTCATGTGATTTATGCTCTATAACACTATGATTTTCATTATGACCATTAGTAAAACTAGTTTTAACTACTTGAAAGGAACTATTCAGTTGGCTATTGTTGTTGAGAGTCTGTTGCGCTTGGCGCAAGCTTCTCCTGAGTTGAGATACTTTTGGAGTAGAAGTTACCACCTTGTTCTTTTTGTGTAATGGTGATTTATTAGTTTTTTTAAGTTTGGTATGTTTTTGCTTTCCCTTTGTTATGCAGGTTCTAATATTGAAGTCAATATCTGATCCTATACTATCAGATTCAGCGCTACTCATCAAAGTTTGCTTCTTGTTTTGTGAAGAATCAAAATAGACATTCTGTAGCTTCTCAGCAGATCCCGAATCATCTTCTAGCAGAGACAACTTTCTCTTTTTCTTCTTTTTGGGCGTAGGCACCTCGGCTTTACTGGGAACACTTTTCGGTTTAGTCTTAGAACAGTGGGCTTCCTCATGTAGTTTCTTGGTAACATTGTCATAGTTCATGAGGCATGGTGCCCGCTTTGTGTATATCCAGTATGTTATCTCGTCCATGGTGCTCATAAAGGGATGGTCGGAGGGGTATGACGCGGGCGTAGAAACCAGGATGTTGATAGTAGACCCGCCAGACAGGTGAGCGGCGCTGGCCACCAGCAGCGAGCCCGCGCCGTTAGCTCCGAACTTGAACCCGACGCGACCACTCCAAGCAGGCACCTTCGCACCACAGAGTCCATTTTTCATATAATCATTACATTCCATGCACCTGCAAATTGAAGAACATTCTTAGGTCAGTAGATTCCCTTCGAGGACTAAATAGTCTGAATAGCCATAGGTTTACTTACTTTTAAGGTAGATCCTGGTTGTTCTAAATGACATAAAACATATCAATTTACCTCTAGTTATGAAAGCCGACGTTAACTAACCAGTGCCTGACGATACAACCGATATTTTTCAAGATTTAGTTGTCAGAACCCAGCAAAACTGAATTACACCACACTTCGTAAACAGTCCTCAAAAAACTTCCCGTCACATAAGATATTGATGGCGAACAACTTAAATTTTTATGTCTCCTTTCACATCATAACAAAATAGTAAAGCAAAGCGATAGGTAAAATCCAATTTGCTTGGAAATTTGGAATTGATCATAGACTAGTGGAACCAAATTTTTTTAAATCAACCAATTACAAGATCGTTCCCTTTAAGGCAGAATATTTATAGAGGTTATGATTGGTTAAATTTCACACTTACAATTTATGTTAACAGTGAAAACATGCTTACATTGTCATAGACAATCCAAAATCCATCTATCCAATAAAAGGGGGGAAAAAGACGGTAGTATATTTTAGTTTTTTTAATTACTGATTGAGTATAACAAAATAATTAATAAGTTTAATATAAAATACATAAACTGCAATGTTTTAAGTCAAAAAAAAAAATTACATTGACAACGAAACGAAACGCTTTGTTTTGTAAACCGACATTTCGTTTCGCTTAATGTGTCAGAGTCAGTGTGTCTGATTTTTCGCGCCCCGTTGTGAGATGAAAGTCAAGATAATAGAATTTAATGGAAAACTTTAATGATATTGTGAATGTCTTTGCTGTGTATTTAGTTTGATGATGCTAGAAGATGAATGACATACAGTGTTTGATCGACCGTCAACTCGGTATTTGTAAGTAATAAAATTTACTTTTCGTAGTTTTACGACTGTTGGATGGTTATAAAATGTTATGGATGAAATATTGCAGATTGTCGCCTGAATTACGACAACATCTTGAAACGGTTGGTGGTAGACAGTGAGGAATCGTTCTACGGGCTACAGAATTCAAATTTTGCGGCAAGTTTTGATCAGGACCCTCCGATATTTGCGTGTCGATTTTCGGAGGCTCCCGGTTACGAACACATACTCGCTCTTGCAAATGAGGATGGCAGGGTGGCTATCCAGGTAAGATATAATACTCCAAGTTAGGTATTATAGGTTCTTACTCAATTGGCAATATTATTATAAAATTCTGTAACTTCTCTATGCATAAGGTTTACTGTTTTTTTTCTGATTACAGGATACAACAAATTTGACTAGTGCAAGCACCTTAGAAGGATTCCAGTGCCATAACAATGCTGTTTTTGATCTGGCTTGGAAGCCACATAATAAGAACTTTGTAACTGTGTCGGGTGAGTTGAGGATATCATTTACAAAACAAGTAAAGTACAGTTTCATTATAACCAAACTGAAGGAAAGTAGAAAATATTTGCCCAGTAATTTGGTACAATGAGGTTTGTTAATAGAGGTTATGTTAGACTACAATTCATTTTAACAATGTAAGAAAACTTGTTTTAAGCAAACCTTAACATTAGGTAGATCCTCATAGTGAATGATTTCCACTACAGAGTGAGCGCACACTTAAATGAAGAATGATTTCTTTTTATTTCAGTGTAGAATTCTCATCTACATACTTAATGATTTGTTTTTCTATGATGCTTATTTTTCATTTCTCAGCCATTGCAACTTTAAAACTATTAACAATTACAAACAGCAATATTTATATTACTTAGCCTCAAACAACAATGACTGTCTTATCAAGAAGTTAAGATGTCTAAACCTGTTGATACATGAATTATTATGGTCAGTCTTTGAAAAATTCATTAAATTGAGGCTCACTATTTTAAGATGGACATGTAGTGTACATATATACAGTCTTTTTTTTTTTAAAGACAACTCCCACATTTTGTGTTGCATGGTACTTTACAAATATACATGCAACGGACACAAAGAACACCCAGACTCTGAAAGACAATTTATGGATTAGACTCAGCGTAATAGGAAGTGTTTGTGACTCCTGCGTTGCGGATGTTCATGGGCGGCGATGGTCACTTTCCATCAGGTGACCCGTCTGCTTGTCTGCCCCCCTCTAACAAAAAAAAAGTTACAATAGAGGAGAATGGACGAGAAATCATGTTACACTGACCCAAAAAAAAAAGTGTAGTGTTGCTACACATGACAGGAGCCTCATACAATTTTTACTCATTTACTCTTCATTGATTGAATTACTAAGCTCACTTAATAATGTTTTGTATACCTGTGGGATTTAATGACAGTTCTCTGACATTGTTTCTGAATCTCTGTGCTCCTGAATTTTAATCAGGACTCTACAGTTACAACATACTTTTATTACTAAATACTCCCAAAAGTCTCCTAAAGGTAGAGCTGTTTCATAACTTTCTTCTGCACCCTTTGTTTTTCCTGTGCGGAATTCCTCTCGGATACCACACATCGGCCGGATGGTTATGTCGGACTCTAACCGACCCAAAAACCGCACGCCGTCTCAGGTAACAGTTGCCGGGGAACCAGGTGTACCCTAGAGAGGAAATTACACGTGTGGGGACTCCTATTTCCCCATTGTGCTCCGGAAAAGGCGCGCCATTTTTGGCTAAAAATACCTTATTAAGCCTTTGGCTTTTATCGGATTATAATATGTTGCGTTGTAGTGCTTACCACTGAATTTATTGATTTTGTGAGTACAAGAACTAATTATGTAATATGGCTATCTGTTCTTTCCAGGCGACCACACAGCATGTCTCTGGGACGTAGCAGAAGGCAGTCCAAAACGTGTCCTCGTTTTTTCCAGTCACACCCGATCAGTAAAAACCGCAGTATTTCGCCCCACGGAGCCCTCAGTGTTCGCCACTGGCGCCCGAGACGGACACATACTAGTATGGGACATACGAGCCAACAACCAACCCTCGGTAGTTCTCAAACCGGACAACAGTTTAATGAATTGTCATTCGAGTTTCAACCCCAAGACTCCTGGCTCGCATAGCAAAAGGCCCCGCATAGACAACCACCGTTCAATCAGTATTACCGGACTAGTGTTTCAAGATGACTTGACTCTAATATCGTGTGGTGAATGCGATGGCAATATAAAAGTGTGGGATCTGCGTAAAAATTATAACATTTACAAAAGAGAGCCACTACCGAAACACTCCATTCCTTATTGCGGTAGTTCAACCAAAAATGGTTACACAAATCTAATCATCGATGATGCACGAATGAGGATGTACGTTAGCTGCATGGATAACGTCATTTACTGCTTCAACATCTCCACGTACAACGCACTACCTGAGCAACGATACATCGGGCACGAGAACAGCACATTCTACATCAAAACTTGCCTCAGTCCCGACAGCATGTATTTGGTGAGCGGCAGCAGTGACAAAAATGCATACATTTGGAACGTGAAGTACTCTGAACCGATTGTGAAGTTGACCGGCCACTGGGCCGAGGTCACCTGCGCCGCTTGGTGTCAGAAGGGAGACACGAAGATCGTCACCTGCAGTGATGATGCACGTCACAAGATCTGGAGAATAGGCAGAGAGTTCCCAGACCCCGACATCGACTTTAAGGGCCGTGCTGAGGTCGTACCGCGCACCGACATCACTAATTTACCGCAATGGGGCTCGCTCGACAAAACTCCTAGTTCCCTCAAACGGAAGTCAACAACTACCCCGGGATCTTACAGTGCCAAACGCATGCGTACCCAGGCCAGTGGTTCCATTATAAAAACTAAACGGTCTCTCACAGATCTGATGAATGCTTCCAAAGAAGCCGACGAAGCTGAGGTATCTATAAAAAAAATGAAATTGGACACTATTGAGGAGGAGCCCAAATTGCTACCTTCAGGAATCAAACGTCACGGAGACTTCTTAGATGATAGCCCTACCAAGAGATGCCACATAGAGAACGCGACCGACTGGTGTTACATGCCGAAAGCGGGATCCTCCTTCATGACTCCCGTGAAGAACTACGAGACCAAAAACTGTAAAATAATATCGCCGACCGCGATGAAATCCCTTTCCCCGAATACCTTACATAGTATATCACCTGACCAAATATCTCCAGACCAAATGAGAATATTGTCTTTCACGACCCCAACTAAGAACTTGCCTAATTTTGTGTTGGCGGGAGAGGCTCCTCACCTTAGACTGATGTCCCCTGTTAAGAAGAAAGACACACCAACTGATTGGTTAACACGAATGGTGCGAGAGAAGAAAGGGAAATGTAGTGAGATAGCAGATAAGTGTAATGTGCAACCACCTCTAAGTCCCAAAGAGAATTACCCAACCCGTAGAAATTCTGTTACGGAGAAAACCCCTAAACAAAATAAGAAAAGTAGGACATTATTAAAATATTTTAGTGTAACCATTAAAGATAAGTAGTTGCTTATTGTTTTGTTTAAGTTAAAGAGAACTGAATAGAATATGTTTATATTTTAAAGTGAGGGATATGGTTGATTCTACTGTGAGAGAATTTAATGAGCTGATCAAGAAAGTTAATTCTTCACAAAAAGATGAACTTTTCCATTATTATTTAAGCTGTACTCCATTATGTGTTTGTTAATGTTTGCTTTGTATTTGCGTTCCTATAGTGTTAGAAGAGAACAATCTCTACTTTTCACATTTAATGTTTTATTATAGTACAAAATGAATGTTTTATCATTGACTACGGCGCTTGGATTCACCAGTTCTTTGAATGTTTATCATGTGTATGACGCATGCAGCTTTGTTGAATCCAGTACAATGAGATTGCAGATTGAAACTTCCTTCAATAAACGGATATTAAATGTTTAAAGTTTCGTCAAACTTGAAAGAGATTTCTCAATAATTTATGGCATCTTATTCATTATTATAATAAATCAGTACAATATAGAAGCTATTTCGTTTCATTTCGTAAATGGCGGTAGTACAACGATACAACAGAACTAATTACTCGTAAATACTATGATGCTGTATGAGTGTCTGCTTAGAGCTAAGAGCCACGTTAGGTCACCTGCCCAGTCAAGGGAAGCCTTATTTCCCCGGGGTAGGGCCTGGCTAGGTTCGGTGTCGATCCGGGGGGGTTCTGAAATAACATGGTTGAGGTGGTTTTTAGTGGAAACACCACATACTCCTGGCTCCTGCGTCCCCGAAGAGCCGGCGATCCGAAGTGATTTTCCACCCCGAGAACAAAAAAAAAACCCCCACCCCAGATCCCCCAATCGATTACCGGACGTACATTTTTTCAAAATAAACGAAATAAGTACAAAACGTGAATCCTCTCGCGTATAGCCGCGGGAACCGTTGAGTTCAACTACATCGTCCCTTCTTACCCCAAACACAGTCCTTTTTAAATTAGCATTAGCATCGCAGTCTTGTCAATCATCGAATGTAAAGAGCTTTTAAAAATTACTTCTTATAAATGGCAGAATCATCTTCACCGTGGGAAAGCCATGTTACGGCACCAATGGGCCGGCTCGACCGGAGTGATACCACGGCCTCACAGAAAACCGATGTTAATCAATTCTTTCGTTGCCTTTCACTGAGTGAGTGAGGTTACCGGAGTCCAAATCCCCCTCCCGCTGACTGAGCGGGAGGGACTCCAAGGGCAGCAACGCACTTGTGACTTTTGAGTTGCAGGTGTCCATAGGCGGCGGTGGTTGCTTACCATCAGGTGACCCGTTTGCTCGTTTGCTCCCTTATACCATAAAAAAAAACTTATAAATGGTATATAAATTTTAAACTACCCTCTTTTAGGGCAATGGATCTTTGTCATTGCTGTTTATTATTAGTCTTGTGCTGTTGTCAATTCATAGGAACGCCGCGCCCAGGTCAGCTCCTCTGAGTCTCAGGAGAACGCATTACCAACGCGATAGTCGGTTCTACTAACCAACTAGTCTGAAGTACCTATGGGCCTGACTTTTTTTAAGTAAATAACAACAATAGGTAGGAAGTAAAAAGTGTTGCTTTTATTTTTCAAAACTTTCTTTAATTTGTTCACACTAACTGATGGCGTAATTATCTGTAAAAGTTTGTATTGTAGTCTACTTCAAGCATCAAATCAACTTGAGGCGTTCGGATGGGTGCGCTTATTTGAACATTGTTGTAATCTTGCAGGGTTCGTAAGCCGCACGCGCTTTCTTTGTAGCAAGTGAACATGGACTCGTTCGAAATCTGCTTCGTCGGAGTATTGCAATGTTTTTTCATGTGACTTGGTGAGCACGAGAATTGGTTATATGGTTGATGGCTGGCGTGGCGTAAGCATTCATTATATAGTTTTACGAAACATATCTTAGGATTTTGGGAACCTTGGATCCCGCCAGTCGCTACACCTGGGGCGGGTGGTAAGTTTTGAGAATCTGAAGCAAAACTATTTGACCTGTAAGATAGCCTCGACTTCGTCGTCAATGTTGATTTATTTCTTAAAGGTTTTCTCATTACCACAAGAGTATCCATTTTTATTCGTTAGTTTTCTGGTTTCGGTACGTACAGTAACATGTTTTTTTTTTGGTGATAAAATATTTGTCAGTTGTAAAATAACTATAGAAATATTCTGAGGGTGTCTTCTACTTATCTTGACAGATATGACAGTGTTGACAGGTACAGGTATAAATCGAAATTCTGTACGAAAATAAGGATAATATCAGATTAGTATTTATCTGACAATAAATCCTTTAGAACAGTATATTGTTTTTATTGCTATTACAATGGTGTAATAATGTTGTGGATTCTTGATTTTGTCATTACTTACACATACATAGAGCTGATTTGATAGATTTGATCCATGCTTTACTTTAATTTAAATATAGCAATGAAGGAATTGCATGAATCTGGAATAAAAACTTCATAATTATGTGTTATTTCAGATTATATTTACGATTTCATCCAAATCTGTTCAGTCTTTCTGGCTTGATTGAATATCAAACATACATGCAATCATCAATAGTGGACGCCGTGACTGCTGGTAGGTGTAGTAAACCTCCCTCGAGTAGGCATTAAGTCGTTTACATTATGCATATGTATACACACTGCTTGACTTTGATCATGTGTTGACCAACACCCAGCCTATTTTGGTTTATTTTCACACCCCGGTGTAGACAAATGTAACACATCTGCACAATTGGGTGGTGTCCCTAAACTAAACAAGTAGACAAATATTGTTTTTTTTTCATGTTTGTGGTCAAAGCCACAAACATAATAAATAATTTAATTTTAAAGCTCTGTAGACACTAATATGATGATGTTTTCTAAAGTAGAAATATTTCTTTACCATCTGATTCATCATGGTTGAATACTCTTATACTTCTAAGGTTCAGGTATTGGACAGCACATACAAATGGGAATAATGAAACATCGATTGTCAGATGTGCCTTTGCTCACTCTTTATTACGCTTGTTAATATATAAAAACATAATATAAATTATTTTGTAAAATATCACCACTGATTTTTGCAAACAACTCGACCGCGAGCTCCGCTCTGTCACACCCTCTGTGACCTGCGCCTGCGCATACCGACACAGGCCTTTTTTAAGTAACAAAAAAACATGTAATTCCCAGATTTAATAACTTCGTGCAACCGTTAATTTCGTAACATGAACATATAATATAAAAATAGTTGCAATGCAATAAATAATCTGCGAATTCATGTTTATGACTTACAACCGTGTGGAACAAGTTTCCACATCCACCTGACTAGCCGTACACATATATTCCCGTACAAAACCCCATACAAAAGTGACCACTATTGACAGACTCCAGTGACGGCTAATCAGGCGGAGGCGCCAGTTCCGACGGTCAGATAGTCGGGTGGAGCCAGCGCAGGCACAGGAGGCGTGACGCGGGACAGACAATTTAATACTATACCCTACAAACAAATATAGACAATAATCATGTAAAAATATGTAATTTGTTTATCGGCGACTGGCGTTCCGAATGCATAAAACATTATCGACGTATAGCGACCTTCTGAGAATGTTCACTAAACGGGAGATCGACACTCGGGAGAGGGCCAGTCGCCGCCACGCCTCGGGGCCGTGGGCCATAGGGCCGGGGGCCGTAGGGCCGGGGGCCATAGGGCCGGGGGCCGTAGGGCCGGGGGCCATAGGGCCGGGGGCCGTAGGGCCGGGGCCGGCTCCGTAACGATCAAGTGTGAGTAACGAAACTATAGCAGAAATAAAAAATAACACAATTAAAAAGACAAGTCGTTAACAATAGATCGCGCCGAGCTACGCCGAGCGCTTCGCCATACAATTTGTTATACCTACTACATCTAAGTCTGCGCTTATACTACCACTTAACTCTATGTACATACAATATCTTTATCCAAGCGATTTAAAAAAAGTCTTAGTACTTTTTATCATATTAATTTGAAAATTTGTTAAATGTCTTTATCGTTAAATTCACTGTCCACTCGCACCACATATCATTATTATGTTTAATTTTTTTCGTTTTCGATTTATAACACAATACAAGTAACAGAACGTTTCAGCCCCGCTAAAACCTACAACAAGTTTACAGCTACGACAGTACAACCGACCGACTCGTGCGACGCGCCGGTGACGTCACGCCACTCGCTCCGACCAATTGACATTTCGAAACTGGTAAAATATGAACATTAATCTGTGAAGGAATCGCGCCTCGTGTCGCGAGCGAGCGGCGAGACACCTCCCCCCCCCCCCCCCCCCTCACACCCACCCCCCACCGCGCCTCACGAGCAATTCGAGATCAAAAACTGAGGCGATCGTCGAATGTCACGCCTCTAGTGGGAGCGATTCACATCTTCCCCCCTCCCTCGTGAAGGAAACGAGAGGTGGATCGCTCGCTTCAGTCCATTGAAATATCATAACAATACCATTTTATCACAATAGACAAATTAAAGTAAGTCGGGCCCGCCGTGGCGTTGCCACCGTGTTTTTGGACTCCCGCAGTCCGCCATCTAATCACCAAGTATTGAACTGCCCAAATGATCCACAGCAAGCAATATTTAAAAGGAGTAAATTCTTTGAAAATCATGGCGAGTCCTACCTCCCGGGCCGCGGTCATTACACAGGGAGGTTAGTTTGTACTTTGATCATTATTAGAGTGCAATTTAATAAAGGAACGAGGCGATAGCCGCCTTCGAACAGACCACGTCCAGTTCTCCCCCCTCCCACCCCGAGACCGTGACAGGTGAGGGCGCGACCACCGCTAGCTAGTAGTAGCTACCCAATATTAAAGTTTTCTAGTAAATCTTAACTTTTCTACATATATTTTTAAGATACTAGATATATGTGATTTTAACGTAAGTCAGTATTACATACGCACATATTTAAGTTAAGATTACGATTCAACTAACTTCCAATCGCGAATTCGAAAGTTATCACGGTCTTCTTAATGTCTACGAACGATCGACGCACAAAGAGATGGCCCATCGTGGTGATGGTGGTGGTGGGGGGGAGGGCGCTGATGGACTCGAAAGTCACGGCTAATAAAGTATTAGTTATTTTGTCATTGCATTAAACGGGAATCGATATCAGTCAGTAGCGGCCGCGGCTCACGAGCGCGCGGGCCGGGGCCGCGCTCGTCGCGCGCTCTGTCTGAAACAGAACACAAAATTGTTACACGTGATGTAAAATCATTACAAAACTTACATCTAAATAAAGGGATTTAGAAAGGAAAAAAAACAGTTCAAATTTTATATTTCGCTTATAATATTATATGAGGCGATCAAATACTTATGTCATCAGTTATCAGAATAGCCGGCTCGAAGGACCAAAAATTTAACGCTCGTCCTTTAGGCATAATGCTGTTAATTAAAATGAAATACGATTTATACTGAGGATAATAGGGAAATACTCGTATGCCGTACAATATAGAAGAGATTTTGAACTCGGTTATAAATAAAACGAATATAACATTTCGTACACACAATTTCGCTATGCACGTTTGAGCGAACAATGAATTTTTTTTTTTGGTAAGCCAACAATCATAGAAATAGCTATTTTAGTCATTGTTCATTTTATTAAAAAATGTGGAATTTTAGACATCAACAACACAAATATGGTATCTAGATAATTTATTCATCAACAGCCTTTAATAGTCCACTGCTGGACATAAGCCTCTCCTGAGTAAGGAGGTTTTGGCCTACTATACCACGCTGGCCAGACGGGTTGGTAAAGGGTTTGTGTCAAGTTTTCCTTCTCTCTGCAGTGCTGTTGTCCTGCTTAGTTTTTTCCCTTAGTCGGTTCTTACGACACGCACGGGATGAATAGGGGTGGTGACACTCTGTATTCTTAATCCGTCACCACACGGACTATAATTTATAACGACCTGAATTACCAGATATAAAATAAAAAGAATGACAACTGGTGACGTGTAATGGTGCCGGTGACTAGCTAGCGTGTTACCTGGTGGGGTGGTGTGTGAGTGGTCCCGCGCGCCATCACCAGCAGAAGACGGAGAGCTCGCCGCCGTGCGCGCCCCCCACGGCGCGCCACGACCGCACGCCGCCGCCGCCCACCTTCAGCTGCAACGAACAGGCTGTACATGACACCGGGCTCTTTACGTTATCATCAAATACACATATAGATATGATTCGACAGCTGAAAAGTACAAAGACATCTGCTGCTCATCTTGTTCTAGCAATTTCTTCAAATTTTATTTGAAGTCCAATTATTTCTTTAATGGCCGGACGTCTACCTCACGCCAACCTTTCTTCAGAATGTAATCGTTTTCACACAGGATAAAAGTAACAAGGTATAAATCCTTTTTAAGGAAACGTTGAACGGACTTCAAACAATACTAACAAAGAGCACTAAAACCTAGCAGCTATCGCGGTTGCTCTGCTGTAATTTTTTTTTAAAGTTCCATTGTCTGTCCCCGAAGTTCATCATCAGATCTATAAGAAATTGAAAAAGGAATTCGGGATAAACAGCTTTGGAACAAAAAATAATAATTTTTCCAACTCCAGACTATATGACAGAGTTATGCCCGAGGATATATAAAAAAAAAACATACGAATTGATAACACGTCCTCCTTTTAAAATCGGTTAAAAATGGGAATGCCACAAAGCCTTGGATGAGGAACAGAAATCGGAACACATTTTTCATCATCTGTGGGGTGACGGCCTGAGGTAGTTTCCACACGATAAAATAAGCACAGTCCGTGTCTATTTTGGAATCAGTTCGCCTGTGTCGAGTTATTATTATTATCTAATTCTGTTACTTGTCTGTTACTTCTGTTTCAAACAACATTAAAACAACTGTGCGTTCCAAGAGAACATTATTTGATAATTGGAGACTTAACTCTTCAAATCATTATACAACGGTTACAAAAACTTGGTTTCCGCAACCGAACGAGTCTCGACGTGAAAGCATGCGCGTGCGTCGTTACTCCATACATAGTCACCGCTAGTGAGTGGATGAACGATCTCATACAAGTGATTGCAAAAACAACACGGTTAGTATTCCAGGCGACGTACATTAATACATAGTGTTAACTGTAGGGCTGTACCATTTCATTATTAACAATTATGTACTTTGAGAATTGTCGAGATCATAAAATAAAATAATAATAATATTCTACCACATTGACACAACGCCATCTAGTCCCAAACTAAGCAGAGCTTGTAGTATGACAACTGATAAAAAATACATATCTAACTTTTTTTTGTAAATAGTATGTTTTTACAAAAAAAAGTTATATACATATTATACATAGAAACGCCCAGACCAAATCAAACATTAAAAGTTCATGCACACAAATGTTTGAATTGAGCGGGAATCGAACCCGCGACATTTGGAATAGCAGTTAGTTACACAAACCACTATGCCATTCGGTCGTCGATAATATGGGTATTACGATGGTTGTGGTCCCAGACTGACCATTGTAGCCACGGCCTGGAGGAAACGTCAGGCAAATCGTCAGCTTAGCTGTTTTAATGCACACGTTTGAAGTGAAATGTATTATCGATTAATCTGTTGATGATAACTAGACGTGAAGCACGATAGTGGTTGAGAGCTTACAAACACACAAGTGTTGTATTACAACAAGTATCTTACAATAACTATTTATGTACAAAATCTAACAATATAAGTAGGTACGATATCCCCAAACACGGCTGTATGGTGTATATAATCTATACTTGTTTTGCCCGCCCGCGTGTAAGTTGGCTATAGTAAATAGTAGCCTATATTTTTCCTCAAGAATCATAGAATCTTCATCCCAAATTTATTTTAAATCGGTTTAGCGGTTATTGATCCCCCATACAAACTTCCAACCCCTTTTCACCCCCCTAAAGGATGATTTCTGATATAAAAACTATCCTATGTCCTTTCCCGGGACTCAAACTATCTCTATACCAAATTTAAATGAAATCGGTTAAGCCGTTTAAGCGTGAAGAGGTAACAGACAAACACACTTTCGTATTAATTTATTTATTTATTAGTATGGATATTAATACGTTAAGAATGAAACGAGAAACAGTCTGCATAACCCTTCTTAAACAAATATGGAGCACGACAACATATTATTATCGTGTTTGAAATACTTTTGATGTTTATAATATTTAGAAGCATAAAGCAGTTTTTTTATGGGCTAGGTAAAATGTATATAAACACAGTTCCATACTATAGGGGTCCGTACAAAAGTTTATATATTTTTTTTAAAGACAATCCTGCATTCGGAATATAGCATGTGTCGAGGGGGACTTTACAAACATACATGAAATGGACACAAAAATTATCCAGACTCAGAACAACAAATGGTGGATCATACAAAGTGTACAAACCCACAACAGTCAGTGTAGTAGTAAGCGGCGTGGCGACCGCTTAAACCACTACGCTATCCATGCAGTCAATCAAAACGGAAAATCCGACAGCCAGGCGATCTCTGGGTAATTTTAATTGGTTAATCACATATGTATTGGCAACTCCTTTGCAATTTTATATAGCGCCAACCTCAAATAGATCTAAATCTATTTATAACAGACAGACAGACAGACAAAAAGAAAAAGTATCTCAATTCGGTTGTATTTCTTTGTGTCTCCTCAGAACTCTGCCATTTACAAATTGACATGGAAAATTCTTTTTTATTTGTGACGGTATGCTTCGAGTTTGAACTCTATCAAATTTAACGCCTCAGAGTGTAAAATTAAGGAATAAAGAATACAGTTTATTAAAATTCAATATTATGTAGACGCATAAAATTCAATTATTAACACAAACCGTCTTTAATCTACTGCTGATTAATTATTACCGTTTAAATAATTTAGGTCTTGTTGCCGACTGAGTACTCTAACCCATCGGCTGCTAATAGTGCTAAGTGTGCTAACCCTAGTGTAAGTGTTGGCAAAAAGCATAAATGCGTGTTTTCATTCCACGCGAGTCCATATTGGGTGCGGTGCGGGCGGCGGCGGGTCTGCGCGCGCAAGGAATGTGCCCATTGATACCTCCGAGCCACTCAATGAGACGCACGCCTCTCAATGACCACACATTATTGTCCTATATACACATTACACATTATCCTTATTTCCTTTAATGTATTTAGATATAAAAATCTGTCAAACTGTCATCTGTGGTTAAACCGATAAACGATCAATGTTACAATTTGATTAAATTTACTTACTAAAAGGCACCTGTACTTCTGGTAAACGGGTTGTAGCAACATATTTTGTTTATATAAACTCCATACACAGATTTTAGTATTTCATTCAATGTCTTCAATTAAATTACGGTGATCGATTCCCCGGTAAAAGCCAATCCGCCCTGAGCTTATCGACCTAGTGCTTGCCTCCCGAGTTTATCCGTAAAAACAATATTCTTATTCTTCTATTGCTTTAACTTCTTCCCTACATTTCTATAACAATATGCTCCCTATTTTCCCATCTTTGATTTCCAAAGTACCCGCTTGGAACAAGTAGGCTTGGAACAAGTAACCGTCGACTTGATATCCATATATTCCTAGTCATACTAGGGGCACAATAAACACCCAGATGGCTACTCAGAAGGCCTGCACATACAGTTAGGGAGTTCCATTACTTGTCAGGAATCTCATAAAAAGATAAGTTAACTAGAAAACACTCCATTTATAAATCGTAGATCACTCTCACGCAGACTCTGCTGAAGATTTTCTTCTGAATGAATCATAGGCTTTTGTTGACGCTATGCACCATATACTTAGATGTTTAAGTCTTTCTCAATCTAGGAATATAGTAGGAGAACCTATTAAAAAAAAATGAACCACCTTGTTCGATATTAAGAATTATTTATCTCACACACACTCACTAATAGCTGTTATTGAATTTACAAATACCATACACACGTAACTCGCGTTCGCTGTCGATATAGATTTGGCACGATTGGGTCGGGTGCGGCGAGTTGACGCGGAACTGTTCACGGCCGAGGAGCGTTGATTAAGCTGCTTATAATATTATTAACTAACTTTTGGCCGCGGCTCCGCCCGCGTATATTTCTATTATTGCGGTAAAAAGTAGCCTATGTCCTTCTTCAAGAATCAAACTATCTCTATACTAAATTTCATCTAAATCGCTTCAGCGGTTATTGATTTCCGAACTGCCACTTCCATTTTTACTCCCTTAAAGGACGATTTCTGGGATAAAAACTATCCTATGTCATTTCCCGGGATTCGAACTATCTCTATACCAAATTTCATCAAAATCGGGTCAGCGGTTTAAGCGCTTCCGCATTTATAATATTAGTATGGATGAATGGATATAATTAGATGACATAGTGTTGTGTTTGTTTTGATTGCCAACCCTGTAACCGCCCAATCTGTTATACAATAAGTAACTAGAGATTTGCTTTTAATTATATCGCTTTTTAAACATGAGCACCTGAATTTTTCATGAAATTCTTCTGGAAATTTAGTAAACTAAGCTACTGTAAGTAGTGAATAAAACTTGCATTTTGAAGGCGATAAGAAGCATTGGAGGTGTCATTTCATTTTATCTGTAAGTAAAATGTACCTTAGTTTTTATCTACCTGTATTTCTTGGAGATACGTAGAATACCTAAATATTTCAAATACTCTCTCTAAGTAAGAAAAACAAATTTAAAACTAAAATGTCCAAGAGTTATTTGTTTTGGTCAAGGCGCTGTACATGCCGTTGTATGATAATTTTATGCCCTTTCTACAGTTATGGAAGTTTGTGTGGTTTAAGATTTAAGAGCTGACCTCCAGAGGTACTGATTTGATTTGAAAATTCTGTCACCAATTAAAAACTTTATGGTCATCAAGGGTTTTTTCTTGGATTCTCAATGTTCAAATACAAGCTTAAAAGTGTGTTATTATTTTAATCTATACAAATAAATAAAATTTAAGTGTCTGTTTGTAATGTCAAAATAATAGGTTTTTTATGGCCCACACTACCTATACCTATGCATAAAAACCAGTTTAATTTTTTTTGTCTGTCTGTCTGTCTCTTTATTCCGGGTAATCTTCTAAACGGCTGGATCGATTTTGATATTTTACTACCAGATAGCTGCCTACATAAGGAGTAACTTAGGCTTTTTTTCTCTCAGAAAAACTATAAACTACTTGCCCAGTCCGGGAATCGAACCCACTAAGGCGGCGCTTTTCAAATTCCACGCGAAGTCGTGGGTACCAGCTAATACTGAATATTACAATTAAGCTACAGTGGTTTTTGTCAATTTAAACGCATTAGTCTCTGAAACTATCAGTCAGATGGTCAAACTACGAACGAACGAAATGACCTATCAGTGATGACCAGGTTTAAGAATTCTGTTTGTATTAAATAGAGTATTCCTTGATAATGATTATATGAAACGTAGCATCACGCTACGGCGCGGCCCTTAGGAGCGGGGCAGTGACCATGAACGCAGGTGAAACTACGGGTAGCGGCTAGTTAGTATTGTCTAGCCTCTTGGTGCACGCATCCAGCGATTTGCCTGCGCTCTTTTGCATGCAAGCAACTTCTATAGTACAGAAGTAGAATTTTGTCTGAGAGTACAATAGGAGTGTCAGGCAGCCATCGGGTGGATAGTGTGTTAATTGTTGGAGCGTGGACAAGAAGTGGTAAGGGAGCATATCGTGTGGGTACACAATGAACCTTCACTTTATCTGGTTGTTTTGGAATACAAAAGTATATATAGTTAATAAGGAGATCATTGACATTAAGTTAGAGCAGTGTTTACGTATCCGGTCAAGATCCGGAGTTGGATTCCATGAAGTACTAAGTAAAATGTTGAATCTATAGGGATCTCTTACTCGAATACACTTCTACTTTTTCTGGGAGAATCTACGAATCTACTCTGGGAGAACATCTAATAATGTTAAACACCACATTATAAGTGAACGATGCCCTACGCAACGCGTAGACATATTATTAATAGACTTTTCGAACATGACACTTTCAATAATAAAACACATCTACCTAAAATATCATATGTTCACCAGATGCACCGGCCCGCATGCGTGGGGTCATCGACCCGCTGCCCGATAAGGACTGATATTGTATCACCTAAGGTTCAACCGCCAATGTTTGTTACCAAGCTTATATATCTATGATAACATAGTACATAGGAAGCAGGAATGCTGTTACCTAATCTATAAAATCAACACGATAAGCTTAGACCAATATTTGTTCTAATGTTGGTTCTAAATTACACATATCTAAGTACAAATGTAAAAAACGTACAAGGTAAAGATTGCATAGGTAAGAGTAACTTACCTTCCTTAAATGTTTGATATACGTACATATTTAATACATTAATGCAGCATATTTAACTAGAAATAGTATGGCGTATTAGTCGTAGTAGTAGTGCCTAGATAACTTCTAACGAAGTTGTGACGTTAATTCCTCGAAATTGAAAATGATTTCTGGGAGTTGTACCGCAACTAGTGACAACTTAACATTACGGTTTACGTTCTATTCTAGGCAGCTGTTTACAACTCGATTACTTTTAATTCAAATTATGATATTTAAACAGATCGAGAGCAGAGGGGAGCATTACATAATCGACTATTGTTTAGTAGTTAACGAGACACTTTTATTGCTTTTACACGTACCTATCTTCGGATTTTATAAAAGAAGTAAACAAAATAAATTAACTTGTTTGTATTTTATCGGACGAGTCGTTGATAAAATAATACGTTTAAAGGGTGACATAACAAGTCAATAGGTTGATTGTGAGTGTGTAAATATTTGTGTATACATAAACTAAATGTTGATTACTGTATATTTTTAAAATAAAAACTATACCTAGCGTGGCGTTTAGAGTCCCACGCTTTATCAAATTTAGGTGTCTATTTTGTTAACGGAATGTGACTTTGTGATCCACCCACAGTGTCACATCCATCCCCCATGATTTATGGGATGGGATAAACCTAAATCCACACTTCGGCTCTATCAACACCGCATACCCTTATATTCGTCCTGCGATGGGGTTTTACATTACAAAATCTTACATGACACAACATGTCTGTGCAAATTTGATCTAAATCTTTCATCTATGTATCGATGAGCCAATACGTCGGCAATATATCTTCAGGTCTGGATGGTTTACACACATCGTACCGTGGGAATGGTGCACATGTGCGGTCAAAGCGATTATGCGCTGCCATGTGCCTGCTCACAGTAAGAGCCACGCCACACACGTCTATTTAACAACTTGCTATTGGCCACGCCTTCGCTCCTCTCCATAATTCTTATTTCGTGTTTTTAACGATTTAATTTGGTCCATGTGGTGACGGATTAAGAATACAGAGTGTCACCACCCCTATTCATCCCGAGGGTGTCGTAAGAGACGACTAAGGAAGCGAACTAAGCAGGACAACAGCACTGCAGAGAGAAGGAAAACTTGAAACAAACCCTATACCAACCCGTCTGGCCAGCGTGGTATTAGTAGGCCAAAACCTCTTTTCTAAGGAGAGGCCTATGTCCAGCAGTGGACTAGTAAAGGCTGTTGATGTGATGATGTGATGATGTGATGTTTTTAACTTTGAAAATTACAAAGGTCCAACCGTTCATCCCTTATTTTACCCTTTTAGGGGTGAAATTTCCAAAATTATTTTCTTAGTGGGTGCTTACTACTTAAAAATAGTATTCCTAGCGGTTTATGCTCTGTGTTGATGAATCAGTGAGTCAGGCAAATATTTGTTTGTATAATTTATGTTTAGATTAAAGATTAATTTCACAATCTAAGCCTCAACGACTCCAAAACACTGCAACACTATATATCTAAATTGTAAATACATTTCATGCTAGATGTATCAACAACATAACTGACAATGTTCGACGTGAAGTTTCTCTTTGTATCACATCATCATCCTTTAATAGTCCACTGCTGGACATAGGATTCTCTTTAGAAAGAAGGTTTTGGCCTACACTACCACTCTGGCCAAACGGGTGGGTATAGGGTTTGTTTGATGTTTTCTTTGTCTGTGCAGTGCTGTTGTCATGCGTAGATTACTCCCTTAGTCGGCTTTTATGGCACCCACGGGATAAATAGGCGTGGTGACACTGTATTCTTAATCCGTCACCACACGGATAGTCTCTGAGTATGATGGTAGGTATTCGCGTACTAAGCGTGTTAAAAAGTCCAGATCAGCAGTATCGATTATATGAAAAGCAATATTACAATGGAATCACCAAAACGGCTGAGTTTGATCTAAACAAAGTTCAATTCGAAAAGAAAACGCAAACTTGACGCAGTGTCGTATGAAAGGTAGGCTTTTAGTTCGAGGTTTATTGGAAATATTGAATGATTATGCATAGAAATGACGGATTATTGAAATGGAGCTGAAGTTAGGTGCTACTAACAAATTTAATATTTATTGTAAATAAAAAAATATTGTTTTTTTTTCTAAAAACTATTAGGTGAAGAAGGCCCCGAGTTACGCCACGGTCCTACACGACAGCAGTCGACTTATGGAGGCTACATAATTCAAGCTTGTTTTTAAAAATTTTGAATTTTTGATTTTTTTGTGACTAATATGCATACTATCATGGGTTGGTCATTGTTAAACCTACATAGAGTATCTTTATGATATTTCGGATTGCGTATAGATTTTATTACGGAAGGTGTGTTTCTAGTTTAGGAAGGTTACTCTCACCCTTTTTTAATCTCAGTTTTACTGCTATTGATGGTCTAAATCTACTAATTAATGTATTTTTATTTAATTTAATACATAGTAGTAGGGAGACCTTCAGCCTGGGGACAGTAAAACAATGGTATTTTAGCTCCTGGACAGTTTGTTATTTCTTTTCAGATATCTTATAATACTGTTTGTTATTTTTCATTGTTCGGAATTGGCTCGTATTTCCCGGAAACAATTAGTGACATGTTACAGATATGACTTGTACGAGCGATTATTGCGAACACGCTCCAACCCCTGTATTAGCAATAATCCTTTTCCCGTATCATTCCTTTTCAATTTACTAGCCACTTTTCATGTTTAATTACCAAAGCACGCGGTGGACTGCAATAGGCTTACCAACCAAGTTAGTGGGCATCAAAATATGCTTCGTAAATTGGTATGTTTTAATAAACATCTGCCTTCACCTTATGGTGTACAGGCGCGAGAAGTGCTGCGCTAGCAACTTGGAATTAGTTGCTAGCGTAGTTAACGACATTAACGATTAACGAATATTGTTGGGAATGCAAGAGGGTCGAGATTTCTTGTATAAAGCCAATTAAAAACCTCCACTGTATACAAGAAATCTGCATCTGTTGGCCTTCATCAATGAACAGGCGTTAATAGTCCACTGTTGGACATAGGCCTCTCCTTAGAAAGGTTTTGGCCTGCTATACCATGCTGGCCAGACGGGTTGGCATAGGGCATATTTTGTTTCAAGTTTTCCTTCTCTTTGCAGCTCTGTTGTTCTGGAGAGTTTGTGTCCTCAGTCGGCTCTTACGACAGCCACGGGATGAATGATGATGAAGGGTGGTCACACTCAATATTCTAAATCCACCAGTCACCACACAGACGCTGGCCTTGCCTAGATCAAAATATCTACAGATTACAGAAATTACATTTTTTTAATGTAATTACACCATTCGAAATTTGTATCACATATAGAAAGGGGCAAGGAAATTTTAGTCCAAAGTAGGATTAACAAAATAAGTTGATTAAGTTAAAGCAAATATTATATTAACAGTAATTGAAATGTTCCAACGCAACATAAAGTTGTAAACGACGTGTAGATATAGTAGAATACAGAGCAAGCTGTCCGTGTTGAAACAAACTTCCGACGGACTAGAATTAGATTTGTACTCGCTGCAAAACTAATCAATTTGTTAGTTTCCGGGGAGCGAGGCGCTCTTTACATTTTATTTTCTATTTTCCGGGAAGTTTAAGTTATCTGTAACCCTGGAAATAATTGAATTTTCTATATATTTTTTATCTATTTATTCTACTGTTTAAATTGTTCTTTTTTTCACTGTTGTTGATGTTGCTACTCTTGTACTGTTACACCTGTTACTGTGCATCTGTAAATTTTAGTTTTTTTTTTGTCTCTATTTTGTATTTATATGTGGAAACTGTATTGGATTGTGTGTAGTTTACCTGTATCTCATTGTTTTCCAAATAAAATAAATAAATAAAATTCAGAGCTTGTTATAAAAAATACAGGGGACGGGAGGTCGCACATTAGTATGCTCCGCGCGCCTTCCGTGACCTAGTCGCCTCCAAGTTAACCCCGAATTGTGCCATTCTTTACTACCAATACTATCGTCTGTTTTGCTTTTATATATGTAGAACACCCACAACACCTTCGTAGAACATTCAATTGTTTTGAAAAGTACAGTGGGGTAAATGATTTTTAATAAAGGTGCACTAATTTGTGCACGGATTTTTACTTTTAATCAGAGCTAGCATTTAAGAGGAAAGGTAGATTTAGCCCCTTGTTTCCTCGTAGTCAAAGCGATGAAACCTTAGTTCAGACTATTTTTTTAACATTTTGATTGTTGGAAGAAATAAGGTCGCGGTCCATACCTGCTGCATCTTATCAAAGTCAAGCGCAGGTCGGTGACGGCGCGGCGGTGGCAGCGGCATGCGTCGACGACGCGGCGACGGCGGCGCGCGTTCAGGTCCCGGGCGCTCAGAGCTTACGCTCGCACCCCCCGCACTCGCCGCTCCCCCCGCGCCCAGTCCACCGGCGCACGCGCACGCACCAGCCCCCGCCCGCCGCGGCTTCAACGCCTCCAGCGGAGGTGATGTACGGAACCGCACTGGAGTCTCTACCTGCAAGTTCAAACTACCTACTAAATATAAACCCATAAAGAGAATACCGGCAAACTAGATCGAAAGGGATGAAAAAATCCCGTTCAAATCGCATTAGAGTGATGCTTTACCGAACACTTGTCACCCGGGTAAAGAGTTTCTAGAAGTATAATTGACTCTCAACGATTTGAGATAGAGGGTAATAAGGGAAATAGAGAAAGTTTTCGTCAGGATGTTATGCTTAAGTGGTAGTCTTCGAGGGAAAGATTGTGATCAACTGTTATATGTTAGCGACGTACACACTGGAAGGTGGTTAGTGATGTCGATGATGGTTAGAGTATGGTGTACCTTTGTATCGTCATCATCTGAGGAGGGGGCACGCGCAGCCAGTTCGTCTTGGTCGGCATCTAGGTAGGGCTGCGCTGGCCACTTGCGTTTCTCTGGCGCGGAAGGGGGAGGGGATGAAGCCCCTCGACGTCGTGACTCCGCCGCGGTTGTGGAACCTGGAGTACCGCTCCCCGCACCCGAACTTCCCACGGGCGCACCGTTGATAACCTGCCGCGACCATCAGGTCAGGTCATGCGACTCCCAAGCAGCCTCGAGTGATCGTGGATGTTATGGCGAACATGGTGGAGCGTTTAATTCCGGAATTTAATTTAGGGATTTGTGAGGCTGCGTGGAGGTATCATGATTAAGAAACATATAAACCATTTCCCTCGGTTGATATTGCGTTCACATTAATATTCTAACAGTAACTTATCACGGTAGTACTTTCAGGGTACAATTCGACTGCGATATAACTACTAAAGATTTTTTTATGAGTATATTACTAAAAAGCAATTTAACTATTTAACAATACATATTGGTATACGCCTATGTTAATTACCAGTTTGTGTAGACTTAACCATTTATTAGCCATGTTGAAAATTTAAAAAGAATTACTATCATGGGAACCTTGCTATGCTAATTACGCATAAAATTCTATGACATTAGAACTACTAGCTAATATAAGTCGGAATGGACGTTGTTCTGTGTGTACGGAGTTAGGTAAATGTTTAAGGAACATTTCTGCTACTATTGCATACGACTGATGACCCCTTACTACTAAGTAGCGCAACTACATGATTAGTATTACATTATAGCTTTGAGGTTAAAATTAGACGTGATATAGAGGAAATTTAGAACACATAATGGCAGCGAATGCGAGGTCTGAGAGCACGGGAGATGGTGAGTCGTGTCAACTTGTCGTCTCAGCTTCACACTTCAACACACCAGAAAGAGCGCGCCCGACTACAACAAATTTATTGTTAACTAAACTTCCACACGAAACCACACCAGTGAGCGCTCGTGTGGACCATGAACAGCAGCGCGGAGATAACAGCATTTAAAACAACATCGTCAGACGCTCGCAGACACTAATAAACCAAGAACAGCACATTACCCACAACACTTGCAACGTCTGAACAAACAATACTGAAATGGCATTACGCATTTAATATTATCACACGGCGTTTTTCTTTCTTTAGAAAGCTATTTCAGTTTCCTTTTTGTAATTAAAAGAGTGCGGAGACAAAAGAATTTCTAATTTAAAGCCAAGCGCAAGATAAACAAATGTTATGCAGGCAGCAGACGGGAAAAAATGACTAAAAACTCTCGGATTGTTTTGTCTTGTTGGTGGAAAAGCGAGCGTCAGCCGAAGACGGGACTTGTGCTGTACGAGCGCCTGTCAAGCCGCTGTATCGGTCCTGTTTGCGCTCCACACACCATTGCCACTTATAATTGAAAATACATCATTATATTGACTTGATAACCTAATTTGTTTACAAACCACCGGAGCGATAAATCTGGTTCGCAATCTAATTAGAGACCGGTCGGCTCGGTGCCGCCTACTAGATAATTGTGCTTGCACACTACACAATTTTTCTTAAACCTTAACATTAACCAAAGGGAAGAGAGCGTCGGAGGTAGGTTTCGGTCGACATCTGCATGAGAACAGGCGCTGTATAGAAATGCGATGTGCAAGTTGTGGACAAGTTGATGGGTCCATTATACTCGCGGCAGATAAACGGCGCACTATAGCTATAGACAGAGGCGCCGCTTCACTGACAATAGAAGACGACAGCCGTCGCGTCGTACAATGAGCAACACGTACATTTATATACTTTGTACTAAACTGTCTTATTCGGTGCACTTGAGTTAGAAAAGAAAGACCTATTGTCCTCGATTTACACTCAATAATTATATACTCGCTGTAGCAAATCATTCCATTGCGATGTTTGAGAACAAGTATACCGCTCATCTCTTATCGTAGTGTTACATAATTGGTTGGTGCAGAAAAAGTGCAGCAAAAACTTCAGAGCACCTACAACGTACGAAGGTCGTTTTTTTCACGTGAATATTCGCTTACCGGAGGCCATTCACCTGCTCTCTTCCTATCGTCACTTTTTCATTTATACGTTGCCTATCTGAAGGTGCATGCTTCAATATGATCGTCAGTATTTTAGATGCATGATGCCTTTGTTATCCCGAAAATTAAACTTATCGTGATTTTTATTTCAGCAAGTGGTACAGAAAGTATTGCGTTTAACACATCATTGAACTGACAGCTCCTAAGTTTTTAACCTTACTATTGGCATTATTCTATATGTTTAATTAGGTAATTCCTTTTTATAATTAACCAATAAAAAATCAGAAAGGGATCTACGCTTTTTTTAACCGTGTCTGAAAATATTGAGGTATACGTCAAGTGCCTGTCTAATAGCCCCCTGGCGGCCACTGGGGTGAAAGATAGGGGAAAGAGAAGGGGATAAGAGGTGAAGGGGGTAGTCTACGGCTGTAATTTAGTTGCGGCGTGTCGACGCGAATTAATGCGGCATGCGGAGCTGGACATTGCCGAGAGATACGACCCATGAACGAGGATGTAACCGAGCGATCTTTATTTGCCAATTGCACAGAACACATATTAATTAAAAAGGAAATTAAAAAGGAATTTATCGAATTTATTTCTTTCTTTATTCGTAAATGTACTATAACCATATTTACACAAGAGTATTTGGGCAATTTCATTTGGGAACTAGTCGTTTGTAAAACATAGAAGATTTTAGAAGACCGATTCTATTAGGTTTGAGTGGAAAAAGATTACATGAAGGAAAATGGAGCGATCAATATGAATTACAAAGAGGAGACATATAGAGGTATCGGCGGCATATGCTAAACCATGTAAGCTAAAGTACCTAAATACGAGCACTAGTATGGTACAGAGATATAAAAATGGTTTCGCTTATAATGGGTAGATACTGTCAGCTGAATAATTTAGGCCTAGAATAAAGTGTCCACATTCAGAACAAATTACATCACTTTATAAGAACAAATGTCTGTAACTACGGACCTTTTCATACACATTTCTGTCACATTTAGGACAAATAGTTTCATTTTATGAGGGTGAAAGAAGTTTAGGAAACTAGAGCGCTGACAAATTAAACTAATAAATGTAGATTTACCGCGAGTATATCGTTGAATAATAACAAACTTTTCTAATAACTACTAGCTACTAATAACATAGAAGGATCCTTTAATCTTATTTATGCTATTTACACTTATCTACAACATTATAATAAGCTGGACCTAATGTCATAGGCATTTTATGATATTATATGCTAGGTGTCCAAATTATTGTCCAAATGAAATGTTATAATTATTAACAGCTTTGTACTAACTGCATCGAAATGATTACACGATATTTACAAGAAAATCGTTTTTAAATTTGTTGTCTGTCGGACTGTTTGGATGGATCCATTTCCACGGCACGTTAACTGCTTGAGATCTGATATTGAAGAGAGTAACTTAGATTACTCTCTTCAATATCAGATTTAGAATAAGGAATTAGTGTACTGAGCAAAAAATATAAATATGTAGGTACACGCAGGCGCAAACGCGTTCAGCTAATTATAACTATATTGTATCGTTGCTTTGTGAACTCAAACGCCTTATTGATTTGTCATTATATTTTTGTTTCTAGTTAAGGTTAGTCTAACTTATCTCGACACAAAACCTAAAACACACCAACAGAAGTAGAAGTAAATACAATAGTAACACGAACTTCACGATTACACAGATGTTTAGTCTGCAAATAGAATAACCGCGAGTGTTTAGTCCGAATCTAAATAGTTTTAGCTTCTCTGTACAATTCTAGACTTAATTTGCAAAACGTTATTCTAGCATAAGTATAACCCTGCACCATTTATTTGATACTTTTAGGGAAAATATAAGTTTGTATGGTTTGGTTTCTAAGCTTAGTAATATTATAACAGGTTTGCAAGATATATCTTTCTAACTGAACTAAAAACCATATCGGCATAATAATAATAACAAGCGAGCCCTCAGTTAATAGCGCTCTTTCTGGCTTTTTGTAACATATTATGGTACGTTTTTACGTACGTACGGTTACAGTAAAACGAGAGGAAAGTTGTTAAACATAAAAAATGATCTATTGTGAACGGTCTCTCTGGACAGATTAAACTAACATGAATAAATATAAACAAATTCCCTTACTTTTGACATTAATTGTGACATCATGAAGAACAATGGCGAATTCGTAGTCGAGTATAATTTGAACGTCTTAAAGTGTCATTCATAGGAAACTAATTCTAGTAAAATATCTACGTTTTTTGAAACTCTCGTCTAAGTCAGTAAAATCCCAGAAAAAAAATTATAAGCTTTTTGATTATTTTTATTTCTTTTGTCAGTTTAGTGTTACCATTTTGCAGCCATTTTTTACAAGTAGTGGAAATACTATCTTATGAAGTGTCGTAACATAACATTTTATTCACTTAATAGTAATATGGTGACAGTACTGAATCAATAAAGAATGTAGTTTGTGGTGCATTATTAAAATTATTATTAAATGTATTTGTTAAAAGTAAAAGTTATTTTTTTTATTAGACGATACAATTTGAGTCAAAATATTTTTTTGTGTGGAGACCTGCCATTGTTATTTACATTCTCTAAAGAATATCTACATCAAAGACCAGATAGTCACTGATCGCGTCAGTAAGTTAATAAACAAGCGAATGGTATGCACAAGTTATTCATGGTCTGTTATTGACACCATAATATTCACAACGTCCTGTTGTCTCGCTCCCGACCCTCCTCCCAACACTGAGTGTAAAGTGCAATCAAGTGCAATATCCCCTTTTTTTTTTTTTTTTTTTTTTTTTTGTTCCGTGCGGAAATCCCCTCGGATACCACCTGTCGGTGGCATGTCGGACTCGAACCGACTAAAACCGCACGCCTTCGCCGGGTACTAATAGCCGGGGAACCAGGTATACCCTAGAAAGGAAGGCCCTGGTGCCCCGACATACCTCGGGTCATCTACAGACGAGTAGACGACCCCCGCCCCGTGTGGGAACCCCATGTTCCCTGTGCTCCCTGGAAGCGAGCGCGCTTCGCAACGCGCTCGCCGCCACCCCGGCCTGCTTCTGCTAGGGTGACAGATGGCCTCACCTGTCACCCCCAGGCCTGCGCTTATGGAGGACGAAGGTCGTTCTGCGACCTCCGGCGCCTGAGTCGCCTGCGCTGCCTGGCCCGTGCCCGGGCCTGGCGGGCCGGGAGAGTTCTAAACCTCTCCCGGTCCCGCTCCGCCGTCTCCTTCGCGAGCATAACTTGCTCGCAGAAGGAGACGGCAGAGTTCCACGCACTCTCGCTCCGCACGATAGCCGCGATCAGGCTATCGAGCGAGAGAACTCCCACTCCGATGGCCGCCACGAGGTCTCGCCTCTGCTCAACCCACGCCGGGCACTCTGCCAGCGTGTGGAGAGCCGTGTCCACGGTCTGGCCATCGCAGTGGTGGCACTCAGGCGTTGGCTCCTTGCGGATCAGACACAGGTGATCTCCGAAACATCCCTTCCCAGTGATCACCTGCGTCAATCGGTATGAGAGGGTCCCGTGACGCCTCTCGAGCCAATCCTCCATAACGGGTCTTACCGCCGCAATGACGGCGTGCCCGGCGCTCGGTTGCCCGAGTCGTTCCCTCCACTCCCCTATGATGACCTGGCGGAGTTGGGATTTCCGGTCCTCGATTTCTCGAGTCTCGGGGCATCGACCCAACTCCTGCGCCTCCTTGCGCCACTGATACAGTGCCGCAAGGGCTGTCGCCTCCAGGTCCCACGGTGGAGTTCCGGCCAGGAGACTCGCTGCCTCGAAGGAGATCGTGCGGTACCCCCTTATGATCCTGATGGCCAGCATTCGCTGCGGTCGTCGCAGTATCGCGACGTTGCTGGCCTTCAGGGCCCCCGCCCATACCGGGCACCCGTAAAGGGCCATGGACCGCACAACCCCCGAGTAGAGTCTCCTGCAGGAGTCATCGGGTCCCTTCATGTTGGGCAGCAGCCGCGCCAACGCACGCGCTGCCCCAACCAACTTGGGGACCAGACCTCGGAAATGATATCCGAAGTCCCATCGGCCATCGAGTACGAGCCCCAGATACCTGATCGAGGGCTCGATGCCGATGCGAGTGAGTGCAATATCCCCTCGCGGCCAGTCAGGCCTCAACTACCTACTTAGCAGTTTACAAGTCTGTCTATCCTATCCCAAACCTAGTTTGATATACTTTGTTCATGTTCATAATTACTACTAATGTTACTCCGTATTTTATATAGGGTAGAGTAACCAATACTGAACCGGCGCTTAAATTGGACCACTTCTGTATTTCTATTAAAATGCCACTATTTTTTTACACTAGCAACCATTGAGTTAAAACAACACTAGAGAAGCAAACCTCATTATAACACGTCGAAAAAAGTGTAACCACTTTTGAACTTTGACGACGTAGCTTTGATACCACTAAACATTTGAAAGTAAACATATTTATGTCTCATTTACACGCGAGACAAGAACAATACCATCGCTCGGATTAGACAAAGACAAAGATATAACTTTACGATGGTGGGCCAGTGTTGACTACCGTATGAAATTTTACCCATAACAACTAAGAAACAATTTTTTTTAAAACAATTTTGTAATAAAATAAATTAATTTAAATATTCTAAATAATATATTTCGAATTGAATAGAATAGGTATAAATAATAAAATAACTGGAAATATTTGGTTAAAAGGGTTTATATTCAGTGTAAAATCAAACTGCGCTGTGAAGCATCATTTTTGTATACAATTGTCTTTTAGACTCTTTTTTATAAGTTTGTGTGGATATTTTACTTTCATTATACAATCTTATTTTTACCTATGTATAAATAATGGCATTTAATAGTAAAAGTGAATGATCAACTTGTACTGATAATAAATAATCCCCAGGGTGTATTGCAAATTCTATTATAATTTTAAAAACAAATTTTAAAAAAAAAAATATATTTTATAAAAAAAAATATTCATGTTTATTTACTTTTTTATTTTATATTTTTATTTTTATGATAAACATTTATTTTATTATTATTATTATTTTGTACAATTATTATTTAAAATTGATAATAAATTAAGAAAAACAATGAATTATTTTTTTTGTACAAAAGTCTCCAGCACTGCGTTCACTGCGAGCTTGGCAGAAGTGCCAAGCTCGCAGTGAACGTTCAACGGGTCCCTAAAAAAAGGGATCGGTCCAGCCCTAACAACTACCGTTCTTCCTATATTTTATTATTATTGGCAAAATGTTTAAAAACAGTATAAAGCATATTATTTCATAAATTATAAATTCTCCCACTAATGTGGGAAAACCAAAATGATTTTTAATGGTAACACTGATTCTAAATTACAATTATCAGTGTTTTATTTCAATTATAGCCTTATTTACGATATTATCAATACAAAAACCATAAACTTACACGTGAAAAGTAATTCCGCATGATTTATTAATGTTTTGTGACCTTGAATCGCATTCTTTCACTACGCATTTAGCCATTTTGGCGATTGTTACTGTCATGTGTCGCTATGTTCAACTCGGTTGACGCCACATTGAATAATGAATTGACGTTTGCTACGCATATGCCTGTGGACATATGTGCAGTAGCAACGATTTTAGGCGGTAATTACTCATCTATGTAAGTATTATATCAATGCTAGCAACACAAAAAGGAGCGCTAGCAGCGCCAATAATACTCCGCCATTTTGTAGCACTCCTTTTTGTACCAATATACTTTATCAAATAGTGTCATTTTGGTAGAAATACAGAAGTGGTTCAATTTAAGCGCCGGTTCAATATTTGTTACTCTCCCCTACATATTATAAATTAACTATAGATATCAGACATAGTTTAAATAAAAGTTACATGGTTGATTAAAAAAAAATCATAGATACTTTTTCTTGATACAAACTAAGTACATAAAATTGTATTCGGAGCTTTTTTAAATTAAGAATTCTCTTTGGTATTAAGATTTCAATATATAATATTGATTATAAGAAATTCTTAGAAGGATAAACCTCATGAAACTTACTTAAAAATATATATCAATGCAAATAGGCAGAATATGTAATAGATCTTAGATATGATTTTTTCGAGAGAAAAACCTGTAAAAGATCTTTAAGCCAGCAAAATGATCAGGACGGTAGTTGATTGTGTAGTCAGAGCAGTATTTTACTAAGCGACGTAATAATAAGGTGGAAAGTTGTGTGAAATATTAACTGATGACATCGCTATATTCAGATAACTAGGTCTAGGCTCTAGGGAATCCGGATAGTGACACCGACTGTTGTGACAGAGGGTTTGATTCTCAGCCCTGGATGAGTAATTATCTGAGTTTAATTTATCTATATTATGTATTTAGAAATGAATAAGTATGTGTATAACAATCTGGTTACTATAGTAGGTACAAGCACTGCCTACTTTAGGTTCAGAGAGCAGTTAATATTATTATAATAAACGTGGTAATAATAGAAGGAATCTCATTTTCCAAAGCAGTTTCTGTTTAAGTGGTAGGTATGTACGATTATGTGATATCCCACGTGTTTTCCTAATGTTTCAAGAAGCAATAGCAAGATTCCCCATTCCCCATTTTAGTTTGTATAAAAGTAGAACAGTGGAAGGTTGAAATTAAGACAAGTAGTAAAGCGAGATTACGAAATACTATACAGGCAATTCGTGAGACCCTAGATCTGGGTACAATTTTTACATCGCTGCGGCTAATCGACTAAATTAAACCGAATGAGCTTTTCCGCTCGATGGGCCACTAGACCCCCAAGTAATTGAATATTAGTACTGCTGGGTACCGTTAAATTGGTTTCTAATAGAGCTATTCTTTGTCTGGAGTTGATTTCAATGAAATATAAGCACGCCAACTTGCTTATTCTGACGATAATTGAATTTTTGGCTGGTTAATGTCGAAACGGTCTGTGGTTCTGTATTATCCGATTATAACTCTCTTACTACCCCCTAAAGTACAGTTATTAAACCGGTAATATAACGTATAGTGTATTATAGCGATACTTTCGTCCGGGAGGTCTATGATACCATAACTCCATATAACATTAACACACACGAGATATAATCTGATGTGAGACGATATTAAGGGTAAGTAAGGTATAAACCTTAGTTATAACAAGTTATTGCTTAACGTGACGATAAACCTTATTAAAATCCTCGATGTTGCAGCATTTTTAAATTTAAATTTTTGGTTAGAGGGCACGCACTTTTAAGGTACATCCAATTCAATATACCCTTAATTTTACACATCTTTAATTCCCAAAAAGACCGAAGAAGAGAAGATTTAATATTACAGTTGGCAAAATGTTGGTGTCTAATGAAGGCATAAGAGCTGCCTTCAAGGATACACAATTTTTAAAATTTCAATTTTTGTTTTTATATTTTACTTTTTTTCGCCTATAGTTATGTTTGAATCGTGCTATAAAATACTACAGGTTATTCTACAACGAATTGATCATGCAACATCTCAGCTGGTGACGAGTGCCATTGGCCACGTACCTCTAGTTCTTCCTCCGAGGAGTGATGATCGTATAAGTGATCTGGCTCTGGGTCGGGTAGCAGCCGCGGAGGCGTGGGGACACAAGCGCACGCCTCGCCTCCCATACCTGCAAGACAATACAGACTACTTTAAAAAGAAACAGAATAAAAGATTTCAGATAATAATTGCAACTGGTTTAAAGACGATGATAGTTAAATTTATGAACAATTCCAGCAGTTTGAAACAAACACACAATCTAACAGTCGACTCGTACACATAGGAGGAGGAGGCATATTATCGGACAAGAAGACAAGACGTCACATCACATCAATAGCCTTTAACAGTCCACTGCTGGACATAGGCCTCTCCTTAGAAAGACAAGACTTGCTACATTGAAACTGTTCAGACGGGACAACGTATATTTTTTGTTATTCAGATTCGTTCGATTTCCGATGATGTGGTAAGGTGTATAACTTCGTTTTAGAATTGTGAAATAGAATGATAAAATAAACTACATCAAGATTTCGATGAGACGAAGATTGGTGTATTTCACACTTCTTCGTCATCATCTATTAATGAATACCTTTTACTTGGCTGAATATGATATTGCGACTCAACCAAATTTACATGGGCCTGACAGACGCGTGTAGCGAAATGATAAGGGTACCTTGTTTGTGCCTAACAAACAAACTTCGATAATTATGATTGCGCAAACTTGAGCTAATGTTTATTGATAATTACAGAGCAAACAAGCTACTCGACAAGTTATGAAGAGGGCTCTACGTTTTTGTCGGTGGGTTATTTTTTTTCATGTGTTTTTAATTCCGTGATATATTCATAGAGCATATATTCTGTACGAAGGATGTTTTCTGATTGATCAAAATTTTACATTTATTCAAAACAATTGTATAATAATCACAAGTGATAGGTTTCAATGCACATTTAAAGTTTGACAATTTAAATAATTTTGGTGCATAAGTCGCTGCATTTTAATAATAGTAACAAAGATCGGTGTGTTTCGATAAACTGCAAAAGCTGTGAAAGCGTCGAAAAATAATAAGCGTCCAACAGTTAGCCATTAAGTTACGTGTCACAGTGTGCGTCAGATGTGTTGTCGCTGTCACTATAAATGCTCGATTTGCACGCACACCAGCTTTTCAGTTGGCCCGATAGTCTGAGTTGTTTTATAAAGCGACTGGAGTGTCGTACTACAAAACCTAAGAATGGTAACCATATTTTAGTAAACAGTCTGAGTTACGTGACATGCTGTTAAATCTTACTGCGGTATATACCATGCCAACTAAACTATGATTTTAAGCTGCTGCGTTTTAAGCTTGTATAGACATGTCGTGGCGAGTCCCCACCTGTTATAACGTATTCCTGAGCACCGAGCGGTACCACATTCAACCTTGAATAATTTTGCCAATGAGTCACGTATTTTTGGGACATTTGACACCATGCCCAATCAGGTTCTATCCCAAGGGAAATACACTTGCCATGTAAATTAGACCTATGTCTAGTATATTTCAGATGTTTAAACATTTTCAATTTGTGACTAACGCTTACGTATGGGTATAACTTGATGTGATTACTTAAAGGAATAAAATCGTCCAATAAATTGACAGCTATTATATCATCATCAAGCATAAAGCAAAATTGGGTGATCTGCTGAACCTTAAATAAAAAGTTAAAAGAAAAACCATAGATAGACGAGAGGGAGTGTAGCCCAATTGCTGTTTTAATGCTGGACATATTGAGTACAAATAAGGCCAATTCTCGTAATAAAACTCTCTATTTCACAACTGTCATAAAAGATGTGGTAAAGTATTAAACATCCGACGTTGACTGTAATGTGATTGGGTGTATCGTATTGTAACCGAAAATTGAATCAGTAATCTGCTAGTCTTAGTAATACTTTACTATTTTACTACGAATATACCTTTTATGACAGTTCCGAGAACGATAGTTGATCAGAACTGAATTTTGACAGAATTTTTATAACTAGAGAATTGGGCTTCTGTTTTCAAACTGAAAATAAGTGAAGTCAGACTACTATTTTTGAACTATACTCGTACTTTCAGGATCTCCTTATTGGAGTGATATAGTTGTGTCATGTTTTTCGTGAGTGAAATGGATTAATACTCATTTGAAGTAACCTTTTTCTTCCAGGTACAAATTAACATGATTTTTTATCAAAACTGCTAATTCTTCTTCTTCTTCTGCTAATTTTTATAATAAGTTCACGCTTACCAGTGTCATCATCATCATCAACAGTCTTTAACAGTCCACTGCTGATAGGCCTCTCCTTAGAAAGGAGATTTTGGCCTACTATACCACGCTGGCCAGACGGGTTGGTATAGGGTTTGTGTCAAGTTTTCCTTCTTTTTGAGGTGCTGGTGTTCCGCATTGTTTTGCGCCCTTAGTCGGCTCTTACGACACCCACTTAATCCGTCACTACACAGACTACCAGTGTACATAATTTCAATTCCGAACCAAGGTACAGAATAAATATAAATGTCAGTGTATAGTGACCAAGCACTGGACAATATCAAATAGATTTGGAAACAAGGAGCATAAATATTTAATAAACATGAATTTATGTAATTCAACGATTACGATGCAAATACTTTCATAGAGCTCGCGCCAAAACATACGAGTATATCCTTGAATGTATAAGTTATAGACCGCATGATTAAATATGCACTCTCCATGATGGCCGAGCCATACGAATAATGACAAGCAAAATAGGAATTATATGAGTAATCTATATTAATATTATAAAGTTCTTTGTTTGGATGCCTAATGATTCGCACAAATTTCGCACCTTTTTTTAAATTAATATTGTTTTACTGGTCGATTCGTATTCCGTGTGGTGACGGATTAAGAATACGGAATGTCACCACCCCTATTCATCGCGTGGGTGTCGTAAGAGCCGACTAAGGGAGCAAACTACGCAGGACAACAGCACTGCAAAGAGAAGGTATACTTGAAACAAACCCTATATCAACCCGTCTGGCCAGCGCGGTATAGTAGGCCAAAACCTCCTTTCTAAGGAGAGGCTTATGTCCATCAGTGGACTGTTATAGGCTGTTGATGATGATGATGTTGACGGTCGATTCGTACAAACTGAATTTATTAGTGTGCGAATCGACACCTCTAGAAAATTAATAATTAGACATATAATTAAAATAAATGAAAAAATAATAAACAAAATATATATTTGTGGCAAATATTCTTAATCAGCAATTAAAATTCCTATCCACTGTTTTTAAGAAAAAAATCACAGTCAACTGACCAGTCAAAAGTAGTTTTAACCGCAACATCATACTTTTATAACATTGTACGACCAACAGGAGCTAAGTATCAATGAAAAATGTTGGATAAACTTGGAACATGTCTTCCCTTTGCGACACGCAGACGAAGATGTCAGGTAGTACACTTTGTAATGCATGATATTTTCTGACCACAGTGACCCTTGGTACATAACTTGTGGGGGCGATTGAATAATACAGTCAATAAGGATACATTAATTGGGCAGGGCACTAAGAACACGGACATTCAGGGAAGGTACAACGCCTTTTACCGAGTGAAAAAGATCTATAAAATAACTCGTAAATCCTAAGTAAACTACTAAGTACTAATCTAGTTTATTCACCTGGTTGAAAAGTTATTTTAAATATTGTATTGTTCCTGTTTATTAAAATATGGTCAAATCTGCGCAGAGGTGTGTTTGGACACATCAATGCGTTTTAGAAATTAGCGAAGAAGATTTCAAAATATCAATGACTTAAATTTATCAATTAAGGTACGATCCGTGCGTAATTATAATCAATAAACAATATATTTTTTGCCGTAGGTATAGGGACAGGATAATATTTACAACCCGGCAAATTTTGCTATATTGAAAATTTCAGATTTCCCTGTGCCCCTTTACTGCGGTCTACAGTCGATATTAAAAAAAAAATTCTAAATCAGAGTAGGTTCAGTCCCATTCGTCAAACTTATTTGTTGATCATTCAAATATAAATCCTTTTTCGACCCACATCAAATAAATTATTTCTGTTAAATTCTGTTTCGTCGCCTGTCACTAAAAGTACCGTCCGTAAAATAAAGAACAAAACAGAATTTGTTGCTTTAACTCATATAGTGTATTGTGTGTGGTTATATAATATTTTTATGGCGGTCATTATTTTTATTCGTTTTACAAAATAAAACTGAGATTAAGACTACAACACAATATCGTTTAATTGAGAACTTGAAGAATTGCCTACCTTAATACATATTATTATTTAGCGATAAATGTCAGAAGTCGGTCGGAAGCTGGTAGCACGGACAGAGGAAGGAGGGGGAGAGACGGCCGGCAAGAGAGGGTGTTCTTGATCTTGCGACGTCCAGGCTGCGCGGCGAGTCTGTTGCACTTTGTTTTATACAGTGTGATCGAATAATGTTATAAAGCGATAAGTAAGTTCGAATTTCAGACGTTCATGGGCAGCGATGGTCACTTTCCATCAGGTGACCCGTCTGTTCCTCTGCCCCCCCATAAAAAAAGAAAAGGATCATGGTGACAACTACATGCTTGCTCGAAGCCCCCGATGCTTCTGCCTATTGATGACAATTGTTCACTTCTAAATTAATGTAAAGTATCCCAATAAATATATTTACAACAATTTACACAGCTAAGAAGCTTACGAGGTATTGTAAAATACGTTCAAAAATTAAAGGAAAAATCGCTTTTTTTTAATCTTGCCAGGAAATCGGAAGCCAGCGCAAGTTAGTTTCTGCGGAAATACTTGTACAGTGAGTCCTGTGTATATCTTCAATTCAATATAATATTTCGAGAAAGAACCATCTTTGTTTATTACAGGTACTGGTAGATGGTAGTTTTCAGTTCTAGAGACGTGACTGCTACGGGCCATCAGGCGCTCGGCGTGACAACTGATGGGCCCGAACTAGCGTAAATTCCACAGACTTGCCGTAGATGAGCTGAATTTGAAAAGTGACGCAACATATGTACACGGAATTTAAAGTCTTTGGATGGTCTAACTAAACATTTTCTTTCTTTTCGTCAGTATTTCTATCAGTGCGTTCTTAAGCCTCGTAATGAAATGTAATATTAATCTCAGCGGC